CAAGGAATTGTGTTGAAGCCCAATTTCTGGATGCTCTCAAAGCAAAGGCAATGAATACGCAAGGTCCTGAACCTGGTGTCTCCAAGGAGGTCCAAGTATTCCTGGTGAACATTGTCCCCGTGGACCGCATGGAGGTAAGGGATGTCTTTGGCAAAGGGCAGAAGGAGCCCAATGATCCTTTCTGCCCAGCGGTCTCTGAGGTGGAGCTCTAACTTCCTTTGGGTTGTCGCCGACTCTTCCTTGAGTCGCCCAGGCTTCCAGTGCCGCCATTTGGCTTCCACAATGGCCATTATGGGAGGCCGTGAATGAAAGGCTCGCCATCTCGCCCGGTCCATACTTTCCTGTTGCTGTTGAAGGGGTGTGTGGAAGGCTGAATCTGGTGCGCCCGCAATCAAAGTGAAGAGGCTGAAACATGCATCGTAGGTCCTATCTCTTTCTTCTGGGGGCGCTGGTTGTGGCACCCGGTTCATGCAGTCTGCCACAAAGTCTTCCATCCAGGGCGTGGTAGCCACCATCATGGAGTTACTGTGAGCCACGTTCATTGGGTCGATGTCATTGCTGGGGTGGACCCGAGAGGTCCAGGTTCCCCCCTCCATGGCCTCCGGATGGTCCGGTGGCACTTGTTGCATGCAGAGCTGCATGAACAACTCCCCTTCCGTTTGTGTGGGGAAGATTCCATGGTCCAGCAGGCTATCTCGCATGTGTTCCGGGAGCCGAACCATTGCCAGGCCAAAAGGTGTTCTACGCACAAGATCGGGTTCCATGATGTCCCGACTCTACTATGGCCAAGCCTGGCCCAAAAGGGTACTGCAGGTGTGCGGAGCACTAACACATGAAAAAGCAAGCTGGAAGAACAACACCGAAAGCCCAGGAAAAACTATCCGGGTTGCAATTGGACAGAACTGAGTGCAAGTCACATGGACATCAGTCACATCAGCGTAATGGGCGGAGCCCGAAAGGATAACAAAAACATCAAACCAAGGTCAAACATGGTAAAACACAGCAATGGTCAAACAGCAGTGTGCTGTAAATGATTCTGAGGCAGCCACATGCAGGTTTCCCTTTTTCACTGTGTGAGCTGGCATCCCAGCGGTCTGGCCCCTGTCTTGGCCCTTGTCGTGGTGCGCAACCAATGATATTCATACAAAAGGAGAATGTGTCTGCAGAACCGAGTGGTGACGTTGGTGCAAGACGCTACCAGGCCACCAGGTCAGTAAAACAGCCCTTCGCAAAAACTCTACTCTCAGGTAGGCCGGACTCTGCTCGCTGCCAGCGCGTTGATCTTCTGCAGGCCCTCGAGGTCAGGGTTGCTCAGCAGGACCGACCAAATGGCGTTGGAGACATTGGCATGGCCATTCTGGCAAGAAAACTTCAAGCGTTGGGTGTGGTCAGGGTCAACTTGCAAGGCCACATCTCGCGGGGCCGCAATCGGCTCCACTCGCTTGTAGTACTCAAGCCTTGACTTCACCCAGCTGTTATACAGCTGTTGGGGTGGCTCATCCAGGATGAGTTGGAGATTGACTTTGACTCCCCTGTGTTCTCCAAGCAATTGGACAAAGCGGGAAGCTCCTTTCCCTTGTCGCCAAAAGCCCTGGCAGGCCTTGCAGACCCATCCTCCACGAGTCACTCCAGCCTCCTTCGTCTTCAGTTCCCATGGACTGATGCTGCTGAGGATGGGCCCGCAATCCGTGCGGCCCCAAAAAGCATGGACTCCCCGGTGGCCGTAGTGCTCCCTCTTGTACTTGGGGCTGCAGATGGACACCACGTTCTCCAAGGAGAGCTCTGGGTACTTACCGGTGCCCGAAGCTACCGTAGTCGCCTGCAGAGCCTCCGGTTCCAGCGCAGTCTTCAGGAAGCCATCAATCTCTGCCTGGGAGTAGCCCAGACGGCAATAAAAGCTCTCCGCCTTCTCATGGGGAACCAGGGCAACCCACCATAGCTCACAGTTGCACCGCCAGGCAACTTGCACTTGCACCATGCTGTGGGCCCCCAGAGTGGCTGACAGCGCCTGGAAGACGTCCGGGAGCTGCCTGAAAGCATCCAAGGGCAAGGTGATGCGCTCATCACAAACCGCTCGAAAACGGAGCTGCTCCTTTGTGTCCTGGATGTCCTGCTCGGGCAAGTCCAAGACCACCGCTGGGGTTCTGGCTAAGAAAACCGAGGCAGCCAAAAAGCTGCCGATTTCCTTGTAGAGCAGCTTGATTTCATGTTGTGATTGGGGAAACCGGAGGCCCACACTGGTGAGGAAGGACTTGATCTCTGAAGTCCTCTGCCGGTGTGCCGCCAACTCTGCCATCTTCTTCTGGCGGATGCCTTCCCCATGCCCTCTGCGCATCGGTTTGACGATCAGCGGCATACCACACCAAGCCTGGTAGAGCTCCTTGAACGTCCAGGACTGTCCAAGCATCGTGATCATTGAAGGAAGGTCCCATGATTGCACCCTCCGAACCAGGTGGGTGTCGTCGGTGCCAGAAGCTACCGCCGTCCCCGGAGCCCAGAAGAAGCCAATGATCTTGTCCAAGGCGGGTCGCTTGCCCTCGGAAATCTGTTGCAGGACCACCTGTTCTGTGTAGGTTGTGGGCGTGTAGAAGGAGGTGCCCAGCGGGTTTGTCCTGAGTTCCAAAGCCAAGACCTCAGTTGTGGGTGCCGGTTTTGCCCAGGCAGGTGCCGTGAGCGGGCCCTGTCGCAGTTCCCACTCTCCGCCCCAGGCTCGGACTTCACCTTTGTGGTACTGCAAGATGGAGTCAAGGATTGCGTACTTGCGTTCCAGGCTGTCTGGCGGAAGGAGTCGTGCTAACTGGGCCTCTTGGGAAGATATCATCTCCGTCCCCGTGGTGTACATGTCGAGTTGCGTCTTGGGGAACTCCGTCATGAGGCGGTCTTGGGAAAGCGGAGGCTTGTTATCCTTGATGAGTTCTTTCATTCGGAGGTAGGGTTGCTTCAGTGCCTCCATGTCAAATTGTTCCGGGCCCTGAGGGCCCATGGCCGGCGCGAAGAGGTTGTTCTGCCATGCTTCTTGCAGGGCCGGTGTCCACAGTGAAAAGGACGCCACTTCAATGGGCTTGAGGGCCTTGCGTCGATCCCTGAACTCTGTGTCCAGTGCCTTGTTGGCGGCTGCCGCTCTCTCCTGTGTGGTTTGGGCCGCCACCAAAGCCTCGTAGGAGGAGGTGAGGCCACTTTCTTCATGTTTTCTTTTGAGGTAGGACCTGAACTGCTGGAGGTCAGCGTGGCGGAGCATCTTGGCACTGACCGGATTCTGGGTTTCCTGTGCACCCTGCTGGATGGCAGTCAGTGTATGCAGCTCATCATCCATCGCCACAGTCTCTTGCTGGTGTTGAATTTCCTTCTTCCTCCGCTTGGCCTCCTGTGCCGCTTCCGTAAGCTCTTCTTCTGGGGTGGCCAGCAAGTCCACCTTGAAACGCATCAGTTCAATGGTCTTGGGGTGGAAGATCACAGCAGTTTGAGTAGAGTCTCGATCATCCATAGTGGGGGGGCGTTCGCCATCTGGATGAAAGATATCGTCCTGCCCAAAAGCCACCACGTGCTGCTGCAGTGTCATGCGCTGGGAGGCAGGAACCTGCTCCGAAAAGCTAACCAGCCCCGTATCGGCGCCCGAAGCTGCCGCAGGGGGAGGTCGGCCAAGATCTCCCACTTCCACAAAGCCTGAGGCCTTAGTAACCTTAGTATCTGTGGGGACCCAAGTCGGTCCCGCCTCAGTGAGCCTAAGTTGCCAGGACTGGCCGGCCACCTCAATCACTGACAAAGGTGTCATTGACAGATCAACAGGCTGAGAGCCTTGACAAAGCAAACATTTGGATAACTGACCCCACGGTGCATTGCAATCAGAACAGACTAATTGCGGAGAAGTTCCAGGGTCCTTCTCTTTCAAATTCACCATGGATCCCCCACGCTGAGTGGTGTGCCGGAGTTTCAACATCTGTGTGTGGACAGCCTCGCGCTTCGAAATGTGGTAAACCTCTGCGATCTTGACCACCAAGGATGCCGTCCATGGAGAACTGCGGAAAGCATCCAAAAGGGAACGCAGCTCACCATGCGTAATGTCTCTGAAATACTTGGCAGCCGAGTGAGGCAGGGCCGGAATCAAAGGTGCCCAGCCTTCGATGGTGAAGGTCTCTGTGGTCGGATCCATGTGGAGTGTCAACGTCTCCTTCTCTAAGGCCCGTGATGTCTGGGTCTGAATCTTTGCCTCTGCATGAACGAACCCCGACGGGGGTGGCCCACTTGACGATTCCACACTTGTCTCCAGCTTGGGTTCCAAACCCAAGTTTGCCATCACTTTCTCCATCTCATGGAGCTGCGAAGCCAGAGTCTCCCTGGTGATGGCGGGATCATCTTCAATCTCTGTCGTAACCTCGGCCGGCGCAGCCTCGGTCACCTGGGTGGAAAGAACCATGTAATCATCCCCTGCGTCCAACTCCGTCCCAATCAACGAGAAGGAGCCCACGGTGCCAGTCTCGCTAGCCACTGGACTAGAAGCCGCCATGGACAAAACAAAAGGGTCGGAGCGTGTTTTTCGAAAGTATTGGATCGCAGGGGGAACAGCTTGAGCCAAAATGGCATTGCCATTTTGGCAACTATATCGTCAACACATTACTTGCTCTCCACAAGTTCCAAGCAAAGAAACAAAAAATTGATTAAAATTGATTAAAATCGTATGTTTTGGATAGTTTTGGGTATTTGGGGATTTGGATTTGTGACAGTAGACGTCTTCAACTAATTACAAGATGGGCCACATGTGGGAGCGGACAGCTCAAATAGTGCTTCCTAAGTGGCGTTTTTGTGAGGCTCCTAAGGCGATAAAAATGGTCAGGTCATCTGGATTTCTGAGTGCTTCCCCTGTCTGAAGCTGTCCTCAAAAAACTGGAAAAACGATGGAAAATCACCATTTTCAATGGAAAAACGATGTCCAAACTTGACACCCCTTGGGATTCTGGCATAATCTGGCACCAGCAATTGCAGCAAGATGGCAGCCAGGGCTCTCTACTTCATTCTGAATCCTCGAAGCCACGCCCAACTTGCCACCAAAGTTGTTCAGGAAATCGCCTCCCGCCCTGCTGACGTCATTGGTAGGTCCCAGGCGTCCTCTTGGATAGTACAACCTGGTTGCCATGGGCACTCCCCGTGGGGATCCCCCCACTTTCCGCCTGGATCATCTTTCAGAGCCTTGTGTGGGAATGGGACATGATAAACGAATCCTTGAAATTTCTTGAATCTTGAAACCACCCAGCCACCCTGGCATCTTGGCATTCTCATTCATGTGCCCCTCCATGAGCCACTTGAACATGGGGTTGATACCATGGACGTCCTCGATCATCAGCACGCCACCGGGTCGGATGGCGGACCACAGATGAACGAAGGTGGTGAACTGATGCTCTGGAAGATGAGAACCGTCATCCAGGAGGATGTCAAACCCTCCAGGGTACTTCGTCTTCACCGATCTAAGGAACTCCGCGTCGCCTGGCCCCGGCAACAGCGGCGACTTGGTGGATTCTTGAAGGCTCCTGTGATCTTGGCCCTAGAAACTGCACCAAGAAGCAATTCAATCTGGGAGGTGCAAGGAGATGTAGCTAGACTTCCATGATTTTCCAGGCATGACTCATGCTGGACCCTGAAATCAGACCTCCAGCCAACTCCCCGCCTTGATTCCCGATCTCGATCTTGATGTTGCTGCCCAACTTTTCCCATGCCTTGGTATTGTTGTCGATGTCGAGCCCAAGCATCAACCTCAAGAGAGAACGCGTACATTACCCTCTGGTAATCACCAAACGTGGCACTGGGAAAGCCTCCATTTCTGGATGAGTGTTCCCATGAAAACCTCCATTCACAGGGGATTTGTTGATGATTTTTGTTTGCCACGTTACCTTTGATTCTCCCAGGCTAATTGACACAATCCCCGGTGTTTTCCTGTTCAATCCTCATCTTCTTTGGGATTCCGGGTTCCGAAATCAGACCGAGACGCTTCAACTTTTTGCCAAAGGCATGCCGCCACATCAGCAGCGATCCCCCTGATTGGACGCCGATTTCCGCCATGCTGAGATTGCCCTTGCCTTGGCAAAAACGTCCAAAATGCTCTTCGTAGATGGGAAAATAGTGTACCTGAGAAGGATGAGACTTTCCAGTGCTGCAGGTGAGGAGCGGGTTTTCTTGCGCCAAGCGCTATGGGGATTTACTGATCACCATTCAAGAAGTAGTGCAGCACCCAAAAAATGAATTAGAATATGCCAACAAGAAAGAATATTAACAAAAGAGCAAATTGCCTAATCATGCGGAGGTTCCACCAACAAAAATTTAATATACGATTTAAGGGCGAGATGGCAAAATTGGTGCAGACTTGGACTCAGATTTGATGTCGCGGGATTTTGCCATTTGACCCCCGTGATATGAAACCACAGCTTGGAATGTCCCAATCGATTTGCAGGGTTTCTGTCGTGTTTTTTTCTGAAACCACTTCAAGGAACATGTCTGGAAATCAAAAAAATCATGGATGGATGGTCAACAAAAGAACACTGACTGAAAACTTCACCCAGCAGCCCATTTGTCTATTCCTGGTCCTTCCTTGTGTTTGTTGAAAAAGTCCATCAAGCCGCAGGGCGCAGTCTCCACTGTGGACTGCATAAACTCAGTGCTGGGGGGCAGCTGCGCCTGCTTTTTGTGGTCATGGCTGGAGTGGAGGCCGGTGGACACCAGGTGAGTAAAGCCTGCAACTGCCACATATGAAAGAAACAGCCACAAGGGGCCCACTTCCATGGCGAGAAAGTTGGGGCCGGAAGAAACGGTAGTCGCACGTGTAAAGTGTTCTTGAGCCACTAAGTGCGCGTTTTGGAGGAAGATGCCTAAACCTTTTCGAAGGGTGGGCAGCAATGTCTGCTTGACGACCAAAACTCCAAGGGCCACTAAGAATCGCAAGGGAGAAAGACGGGCAAACATTTTGTCGTGTATGTATAAATATATGTGTGTGTAGATATATATATATATATCTGTGTGTGTATGTAATGTATGAAATGTGTGTAATGCCTGTAATGCCTGTGATGTATGTAATGTAAGTAATGTAAGTAATGCAAGTAATGCAAGTAATGTAAGTAATGTAAGTAATGTAAGTAATGTAAGCAATGTAAGTAATGTAAGTAATGCAAGTAATGTAAGTAATGTAAGTAATGTAAGTAATGTAAGTTAAGTAGTGTAAGTAATGTAAGTAATGTAAGTAATGTAAGTAATGTAAGTAATGTAAGTTAAGTAGTGTAAGTAATGTAAGTAATGTAAGTAATGTAAGTAATGTAAGATAATGTAAGTAAATAAGTAAGCAAAGTAAAGTAAAGTAAAGTAAAGTAAGTAAGTAAGGAAAGTAAGTAAATAAGGTAGGTAAGTAAGTAAGTAAGTAAGTAAGTAAGTTAAGTTAAGGTAAGTTAAGTTGAGTTAAGTTAAGTAAGTAAGTAAGTAAAGTTAAGTAAAGTGAAGTAAAGTGAAGTAAAGTAAAGTAAGTAAAGTAAGTATGTTTGTATGTTTGTATGTTTGTATGTTTGTATGTATGTGCGTAGGTATGTATGTACGTAGGTATGTATGTTATGTATGTATGTATGTAGGTATGTTGGTATGTAGGTATGTATGTATGTAGGTATGTACGTATGTAGGTAGGTAGGTAAGTAGGTATGTAGGTATGTTGGTATGTAGGTATGTAGGTATGTTGGTATGTAGGTATGTAGGTAGGTATGTAGGTATGTAGGCATGTAGGTATGTACGTATGTAGGTATGTAGGTAGGTCGGTAGGTAGGTAGGTAGGTACGTATGTAGGTATGCATATAGGTATGTAGGTATGTAGGTATATACGTATGTACGTATGTACGTGTGTACGTATGTACGTATGTACGTATGTAGTACGTATGTACGTATGTACGTATGTACGTATGTACGTGTACGTGTGTACGTGTGTGTGTGTATACATCTATTTATATGTATATATATATATTCGGCGGGTGGCCCTTGTACAAAGCCAAGATCCAGATAACTAAACAGCTTGGACCTAGTCAAGACCCTGGGACCCCACAGAACATTAAAAAAGTGGCAACAGATGAAGCAAAGAAATGAAAAAATGGAACCAAAACAAAATGAAGAAAACATCAGAAATCATGAATGCAAAGGATATTAACACGAAGCAAAGGACACGTTGAGACGTTCATTACTTTCATTTACCATACCTTCCCATACCTTCCCATGGGTCCCGTGGCCTAGGCCGGTCATCAGCACAAGGATGGAGGGCAACCAACTGAGCCTGGGAGGCTTGGGATCCCAACAAAACGGTTGAACGGACTTCACAACTGGTTCAACGCAGGAATCCAGGCGATGTGGTTTTTGGACCATCAGCCACCATGATTCATCTTCACCTCCCCTCCCAAAACTTTGTTGGGAGGTCTACTTTTGGGGCGATGTCCTATGACCAAGGTTTTTCGCAAGCAGGCAGCGGCAGCTGCGCCAAGTGGATCCAAGTGGCTTGTTGTTGTTCAAGAAGCCCAAGGCCATGGTAATGCCAGTGAACAAGCCACAGATCAACCTCAAATGATCTCAAATGCTAAGGCTAAGGTGGCCTCAACTGGCCAGTGAGGCCAAGGCTTTTCAGATATGGAAAAAGGTTGCTTCCAATCCTGTATACTGTATACCTCCCACAGCCAACACTGAACACTTTGAAAGCTGGTGAGCCCTGGAATGGTTTGACCCAACGCCTTCCGCGAAGCGCAGCCTTTTTCCAATGGCTCCGAGGCCAAGGAACGCCACCGACAGCAGTCCGGCCAACTGCATGGCACAGCGATTCCGCAAGAAGGTCACCCCTTCAGATTGCAGCCGTTCCACCCTCAGGCAGGGCGTACTTGACGAGAGTGGGAGGTGAACCTCCTAGCTCCAACCTAAATGATATGCATCCCAGTAATTGGCTTCCCATGCATACCTGAGGATATGCTATATGTCATGCCTGGGTGCCCCATCCCAAACGCCCATCCACCTGGGCCGCCCCACACCGCCACCCCTGGGAAGTGCGCCAGTAGCGCTCCTACGCGGTGATTCGTCTCCGCAGCATCAGGGTGCCTGGACAAACGGCTTTGCCTTGTGGAAATACAGCTGCTATGGTGGGCAAAATGAGTCAAGTGACTTTCAGGGAAGAACAGCTCTGTGAAAAATAAAAAGAATACTAATAGTACCTAATAATAATGATGATGATGATGATGATAAATGACAATAACAGTCGTCATCATCATCATCAACATCATCATCATCATCAGCAACATCATCATCATCATCATCATCATCATCATCGTCATCATCATCATCATCATCAACAACATCATAATCATCAACAACATCATCAACATCATCATCATCAACAACCGCATCATCATCATCATCAACATCATCATCATCATCATCATCAACATCATCAACATCATCATCATCATCATCATCAACATCATCATCATCACCAAGCAATCAGTTTAAGGATGAGTTTAGGGTGCAGATTTGGGCCAGGTGATTTCATGCAGCCAGCATGAAACCATATTGAATATGGTGCAGCCAGTAATGACAGTCATTCGCATGTGTGGTATGTACGGACCGTATTGTTCCAAGTTCCTTGAGAAACAGGTATTGCAGGTATGATTTGGGAGTCCAAGCACATTCTCAGAATATTCTTAAAATGGATATATGTCTAAGAGTTGGATATTATATTATGGGTCATTTTGTCACTGATAAGCCCAAGATCTATTATCCACCATATGGATCTACATGGTTAATGTTTTTTCCCATTAAAAAAAAAAACTTCAAGTTCCTGCACCTGTAGCTCGAGTCCAAGGGATCTCTGTACGGCTCTCCAAGCCTGGGATGACATGAAACCTGCTTGGGTCGGAACCACCAAAACCACAGACATTCTCTGGTTGGTGGTTTCAACTCCTCTGAAAAATATGAAAGTCAGTTGGGAGCATTATTCCCAATATATGGAAAAATAAAAAAATGTTCCAAACCACCAAACAGTTCTGTTCTTCCACTCTCCGAATCCAGATCTGGGTGCCCAAAACTTCCGCAGTGCCAAGCCGGCTTTGATCTCCGCATCGGCACGGGCCAGGTCCTACCAGAAAACGATGTCAATGGATTTCTCTGAAGGTTTTTTTCTTTCAAGGAAATCATGGGTTTCCATATGGGTATGGATCAATACCTATTAATACCATTTTTAGGGGAATGAACATCCATTTACCAGCTATTTTGATGTTCACCAGGGGTACAAGGTTTTGACACACTGCCATATGTTTCCATCATCAAGAAAGGAAAATTGCATGGGTTTTCCTGCCAGGTTTTCCTTGAAGCAAATCTCGAAAGGTAGAACTGGCGATGTCGTGGGCATCAGAGTTGGAAGACGCCATAGTTTAACAATACATACTATATAATAACAATACCTACAACAATGATATATCAATAAAAATTCTACTAGATTTATCCTGATGTATAATACCAGGAAATCATGGTGTTTATGTATACCAGGTATCTGTTCTTTTTTCGTATCTAAAGCCCAGTAGCTTCCCCAGCTCTTTGCGTCCTTGAATGGAAAGAGCAAGCCTTTCAGCGCAAAGCTGGTAAGCCTTGGGCATCGCAGCCAATAATGTCCTTTTGGTAAAAAAAATAGAGGGCCCGGTTTGGTATACCATCTATCATCATTTACCTGTTGTTAAAGGGGTAAACAAACCCCTCTTTTTTCATCAACCAACCAATGGGAAAAGTACATCTATGATCGCAGCAATGTCTCAAGTTGGAAGCATCCCAGCTGCGGCCAAGGTGCGCCAGCAAGGTTGGAACCACTGAGAACATGATCCTTGGGCGACCCTGCCGAAAACCCTTTAAAAGGGATGGCAGTGAGGAAGTGTTCAACACCAACATGGGCACCAGTTATAGAAATATAATCATATGTATATATATATATATGTGTGTGTGTATGTATATATATATATTTTTTCTTAAGCACACTAGGTCAGCCACAAATTGGAAATGTTCAGACTGCCGCGGAATCGGCCACGCAACCCACACGCAACCCACCCTACACTCTCTACGGATTGATTTCACATGGGAATTTATTGGTTTCTCATATGTTCTGTCCGCAGAAACTGGCCAATGTTTGGGCTACCTGAAACAAATAAGTCGAGAACGACCCCGGTTTGCAAATGATATTGCTATCAAAAATAAGCCTGGATTTCGATATTTTTGCTGTCTCTATATTAGCCTCATGTTTGATGGTCATCTCCCCATTTGCACAAGCTCAGCCCTATTGGTAAATTCCGCGGTACAGAACCGCATGTATACAACCCCATGGTATCCCATTGTTACAACCCCATTTGTCTAGCAATGAGGTACTTGGTTTGTGAATCCATCCAGCTGCAGAATGCTGCAGATATATCCATCATAAACTACTCAATCATATTGGATCGTATTGGTTACAATCAACTTAATTAATCCAACTTACCTCTGGTGGGCCCACCATTTTTTGTCATACAATCCCCGCCATTTGTTCATCGCAGCTTCCGTACTCCCCACTGCACTTCTTCTGTCTGCACTTGCAGCTGCCCATCGATGGGGTCACGGAAACCCATCAGCGCCAGCAACGTCAGGGGGAAGGCAGAGGCGGGGACACTTACCACCTGGCACCGCACTTGGCACAAAGCGAGGGACTGCTTTTTAGCATCCCTGGCATGGACCACCCTTGCAACATCTTGCAACAAATTCCCGTCGGAAAAATACGTGGCAATCGGGCCAATCACCAGACCCATCCCACACCGTCGCACATCCTCCCACCTCTTCCTACCGGCCACTGCCATATGGATTTGAAACGGCATGTGTACCCCAAAATTGCCATCAAATAATTGGGAAAATGATCATCAACAATTAAGGTGTGCTTTTTTTAAATGCTTTAAACATCATATATATATATACTATATATAGAATTTAATAAAGATAAATGTAAAGATAAATACATAAATATAACATACATTTATATGTTGCCACCCCACGTCCCCATCTCCCACCTTGGGAATGAAGCTTGCGAACATCGTGAAGGTCGCCTCGCTTCGAGTGCCAGTCCGTAGCTCGTCGTAGTCGATGACCAATCCCAGGATATTGTCCGTTAAGAAGCTGGCTCCTGCAGCCCACCCGAAAATAGATGAAAATGCTGATCTAACCAAGAAAAATTAGGGGATTTCATTTCATGTTTAAATTCTTGATTTATAGCTAAGTTGTGAACATAAGTCCAATAACTGGCGTTGATTAGAGGGATACATATACTTCAAGGGGATTGTAAACCAAGTGCGAACTGGGGGGGGACCCACCCTGTGGCGAGGCGCCATGGGCCATTTAAAACATCCGCCCTGGTGTTCACAGCAAGGGTTGTCCCAGAAATGAAACGAAAATTGACCGGAAAGCATCATAGTCTAGCTGGTATCCCTGGTTTCCTGTAGATGTTCCCTTAAAATCCCTTATTAATCCAGTGAAGCTGACACAGTAACATTCATTGCCCCAAATTCTCGTGGCAGCACCAGTTTCGTCCAAATTTCAGGATTCCAAATGTTCACGTCCGCTTTTCAGATGGGAAACCCATGGAAATTCCAGACTGGCCCAGCCATGCCCACCCTCAACCGCTCCTATGGGAGCACCGTTCAAAATGGCAAAGCAAATGGTCAGGACGATGGCCAAGGTGCTCGATCGTCCCAGGATAAACCTGGCTTGGAACCCCGAAATCAGAGTTTGGGGGCTGTTTGGAAGAGGAAGATGATGTTCATGATGGAAATCGACATGAAAACTGAGTTTGGGCATGATTTGGAGTTTTGGAAGATCATGTTCCTCTTCAAAATTGCCATGCTGGAGAATCATGTTCCTATACCCGGAGCCGGCAGCCGGCATCGCCGAGCTGCAGGATGGTGGTGATGGCATTCAGGAAGTTGAAAGCCAACCACGTCCTCTCCAGACAGAAATATGGGCTTCGGGCTTCGGGTCCATTTACTTTCCATTTTTTGCCTGGCAACTTGAAACCACCACTTTGTACCACTCAGAGGTTCCCGAAATAGTTCAGCAAGTTCTTGCTAAGAAACTTGCGTTCTTCGAAAAAGGATGAAATACCAACATCTCATGGTGAATCATAATGTGAATCGTACTTGTTGACTGTTGTTACCCTCTGGTAATCTTACATAGCTACGGAAAACCACCACTTTTATTACATAGGTAACTGATCTATACACGGGCCATGTTCCAAAAACATCCAACAACATCCAAAAACGATGTTCGTTTGCTCGTTATCACTCCCGGCGGGCCATGTTCCGCCCTGGAAATCCTGTAGTCACCAAAGCCCATTGCCGCTTTCTGCCAAAGAGGCATCGAACCAATGGCCGCGAGCAACATGCACACCAAGCCAATCCCAAGCCTCAGTACTGTCACATTCATTAACCCCAAAGCTAGCAGCTAGGATTTAACTGTGGCGCCTCACAGGATGCCCCTGGAGAAGAATAAACCGGTTTACCATGCCATTCTCGGCCCGTTGTCTTGGCCTTTTCGAGGCTTCCTATTCCAATCTCCAAGGCACACCATCCTGGAGCTGCATCGCATGCTGCCAATGGGGATGGGCGGAACCGAATCTTGGCAGATCTCCTCGGGAGAAATCACGTACCTCGGCGTGCCATCGCTTGGAGTTGCTCGGAGTTCTTGGGTGGGACTAGGGTTTTAGCAAGAAACAATCCACAAACCATACTGCTATAGGCTGCCTCTCTCTCTCTCTCTCCCTCCCCCCAATGGCCCTCTCCAAGAGTTCAATCACTATAGATTTGGAGGCTCTAATTTTCTGAGGTGGAGAGCGTTCGAGACAAGAACGCCCTCTTGTAGCCCAAATGCCTGCCATGAACCTATGGCCACCTTGGCCCCATCCGACGTATGGCAAGGCTCTGCACGTAGAAGGGCAGCAAGGACGACAACATGGCCACGATGGTTTGGTCCAAGACCCATGGAATCACCATTGCCTCAGTCTCGGAGTGGTTCCAACACCTTGCCCTTAAACCCACCTTAAACCCATCCAATGACCCATGCGCTCCGCGCCTTAGATGGCCCAAGAGGCGTTTCGTGAAGTTTATCACCACCATGGCTAAATCGTCCCAGCGCGAGGAAACACACGCGCGCACACTCAAACTTCCAAACCAGAACAACCCCAGGGCCGGCTGCTCGATAATGGGGGGTTGAACCGAACCCCTGGGGCATGGACAATTCCTGGTTCCTATTCTTGGCGTATCAGCTTGCCCTGACGCAGCTCGTGAAGATGGTGCTGGCAAGCGTTCGTATTGGACCGGTTGCCTGTTGTGCATCGTTGAGGGATGTTGAAGGTGTCCTTCAGTACATTGCATTATAGTGGGGATCTGTAGGGTGAGAGTTCGTTTCTCTCCATCAAGAAAATCACCCCTCATTTCAGTGCTCAGCCTTCTATGGAAATGCCCAGTTTATACGATCTTATAAGGACTATATAAGTTATATAAGTGACTAAAGTCTACTTGGGTGAGCCTCCTGGTGATTGCAACTGTTTCGCAACGACCTTTTCAAAGCTCAGGAACCAAACCAATCACCAAGAACAGTGAGGCAGTGAGGGTCACTGATGGCAACTTGATGCAGTAACTTGCTACAGGATGCGCGGAGCCCAAGGTGCACTATTCCAGCTCTGAGGGTTCTCCCACCCGGCTCCGCAGTGATGGCTGAGTAATCCCAGGTGCCAGGGTCAACTCATCCCCAGTTGACATGGCCCCCCTGAAGCATTGAACTGCTGCTGCTAGGACGTACTCCAGCTGCTCATGTAACCTCTGAGAATACCCTCCGTAAAATACTCTCCTGACGTCCGACTAGCTCCCACCCCGCACATGTTTAACACCCAGCAGCTTGGCTAAAGGATGTGTGGGAGAATCAAGAAGCTCCAAACCCACAAAATCAACTCTGGTTTTGCCGTCAACGACGGCTAGTGGTGCAGCTTTCAACCGTCCATGTTTCTCCCACACCCATATGGGCCCCCAGAAGCCATACCTTATAGGTGGAGTAGGGGAAGCTACTGAGACGGCTGAAATGACCTATTGAAGATCTTGTTCAAAAACAGCTTTCAAGAAGACACAACTGCTTAGCCACTCAGTTGCATACTACTATATTATGCTCACACCTGCAACTTTTAAGGCACCACGCCTAGCCGCGATTTAGACCTCGAACCCCCCTGCATCCCAGGAGTCTTCACAGCCATGCGGCTCGAAAGGGGCGGTTCTGCAACATGGCCTTGAATTCGAGCTGCCGCGGCGCAAGATTGGTTCTACATGGTCTACATGGTTCTACCATCTCCATCTATCTCCTGGTTCTCTTGATATGCTTCATCATCTTCATCTAAATTTGGATAGTGATGAGATCAAAAATTTCAAAACCAGATGACGCCGCAGTTGACTGCAACCAGGGATTGATACAGTCCAGGGATTCACTAATGCATGAACCAGGGTGAATTAATCTCCGCTGCCATTGCGCCATTGTTGTTGTATATCAGTGGTTTGATGTTTTTGGGTGGGTAGGAAGGTCACGGTTTACCGTTGAACTTCGGAGGAGAAACTTCACTCCGCAGAGGAGCCAAGCAAACAACTTCAACCCCAGAATGGCGTGGCCGAGGTACAAGAAAGCCAGGCAAGATCTCATCTAACTTCCTCAGGCAAGCATTAAGATGAGCCTTCAGGTTAGGAGCTGGATTGTACCACTGGAACATGTCATGCTAGATTCGTGGCAGATTCCATACCACAGTTGACCTAGAAAATGTTCAGCCCATCATTCCAGTGACGTCGCAACGTGAAGTCATCATCAAATTTATCCCCATTATATCCCCTTTTTTACACCATTGTTCTTGGTCAAGTCACCATTTTTGGGTAAAACATGGTAAAACAATGCCATTTGCACCATCCCAGGATCCCATGTTTGATGGTTGGACTCCCACCCAGAAAAATGGTGAAAAATTGCCACGGCACGACGGCCTCTCCAGCTCCGACTCCAAGAGCCCCGCGCCAGTGCTGCGCCGCTCGCGGATGACTGAGACACAGGCGATGCCTCAGTCTCGATTTTCGCGCCGCTGGAAAAGTGATGGAAAAATGTGGAAAAAATGGCTCAGCCATGGGAATATCCATGGAAATGTTGCTGGAAATCTATGGGATTTCACTATTTAAAACCATGGGATTTCACCAGAAATTCCAAATGGTCTTAACTATTAACTAATGGGGGAAAAGAACTATGAATGAATAGTTAATGATATCCCAATGGTATCCCAATATATTGATGGTTTAAAACTGGTTGGTGGTTGACCTACCCCTCTGAAAAATGATGGAGTGAAAGTCAGTTGGGATGATGACATTCCCAATATATTATGGAAATATAAAAATGATCCAAACCACCAAGCAGTAAAGACCTGCAGAACCATCCTCACATCAATTTTCAGATGATAATGTGGATATGGTTCAATAATTGGATGGTTGATTCTAGTCTACTTTCATATCAACCATCAAATTAATTACAGTATCCAATTATCACCCATACTTCAAAATGTCGTTTTCGCCACAGCGAAACTTCAATTTTCAATTTGTTGTTTGTAAAGACAGCACTTGGCAAAATTGCAAAACTACATTTCATTTCATCAACTTGGGTTTACCCTTGTGGTGACGTAACATGAACCCTGTCCATAAAATAAATAAGTAAATAAATAAACAAATGTATATATATATATAAGAACCCTTCTGGTGAGGTAACCTAATCCGTGTGCGTGAACTGCACAACTTTTCTGCTGGTGCAGCATGATACCTGTAACCTTACATGATCTATCATTTCAAGTTGAACGCACTCACTGGAGATGCAAGAACGCTATTGCCCCCCACCCCAACCACCCCACCCACCCCATCCCACCAAAGCACGACAAAACAAGAACAATGCCACAAAATGCCACGGCTATTTATCAGTCGGGCTCCAACTACAATAGTATGCTAAGATTATGGGAATGGAGGTCCCATCATTTGTGACATCAAAAAAGGTGGGAACTTCTCCAAGAACGGGGACTTGAAGTGGCAGAAATGAACATTTCACCGGCAAAAATGGGAATGATTTAGCAAAGAAAAAACTGGGTTGAATGAATAGAATATCAACTTGCAACATTGACAATGGGGCTGTTCACCATCAAATACCTCAGCTCTACAAATCCGAGACAACAAAATGTTCAAAGGTCACCCAACTGGGACAGTTCCACAAAATCTAGTTACCATCATTTACCATCATTTACCATCATTCAGAAAAAATCCATGATTACAATCATGGGAGTAGTTTGCAGTTTTTACCATCATTCTTTTCTTATTTTAAATGATGTACCCTCTGGTAATTTAACATAGCTATTGAAAATGACCATTTATAGTGGATTTTCCCATTAAAAATGGTGATTTTCCATAGTTTTTCGTATGTTTACCAGAGGGTAACAACTTTCCATCGTGCTTCGTTTCTTCAAGGCCAACTGCCCCCAAAACCGGAGGGCGCCGGGATGGGGATCCAACATCTCATTTTGCGATGGCAAAAATATTCAAAGTGGATCACTTACCGTTATAATAGGCATCTTCATTCCCCAAAAAATGTTATATATATATATATATGTGTGTGTGTATTTACTTACTTATTTGCTTACTTATTTATCTGTAATAACAAATATACATCTATTTAAACAATATATATATATGTATATGTATATGAATACATATATATATACATACATATATATATAGTTATAAATGATCCATGGCAACCAAACCCACCAGCTTCAACCGCCTGAGATGACTGCCACGCCAGCAAAGATGAGACCAGTAGCCTCAGGCAGACGATTCCCTCCGCGTCGCCTCCTCGCCCCACTTGAAGGCTACCACCTACCAGTAAGCCCATCTTCCAATCATATCAAATAGCCCCAATATGGGCCCCAAAAGCATGAACAATGCCAATACTTGATGTTACTAAACCAACAGTTTCTAGGCCCCAGGTGTATTTCACATTCGCGGGAAGCGATGAAAATCATCCGCCATCGCTGAAGCGGAACCAAGATGGATCTGCGGCTCTGAATCCCATCGCACTTGCGTTCCAGGTCGACGCAGTGGCCCTGGCACAGCTGCGATCCACCAGGTGGACAATGGGGCATACCCAATAAACCTCTTTTGGGGATTTGTTTACTCTTGGCTTTACCATAGTAAACCATTGGTTCCATCAAGAAGTTCCCCAAGAGTGATTTGATATCCACTAAACCAGGGTGTCCGAAGAGAGGTTTTGTCGTTGTTCCGACCTGCTGCACCTTGCCATACCTTGCCTTTCGCACGGTGCAGCAAGCTGATTGGTGCAATGGAGCGTGAGAGGTTCCACGCATCCTAATCCGCCAGTAGTTGGCGTATCACGCTCAATTTAGGAAGATCTCAAGACTTTCCGACACCAGAACAGCTCATCTTGCTGTGGCTGCCGGCCTCCTCCTGTGTGCCGTGGCACTCCGGCGGCAGCTCGCAGCTGCCCAACAAATTCCCCATGAGCACCGGCAGGGCCGCTGCTGCGATCATGCCGAAGGCCTGCAGGTTCCGCTTCGGCAGAAGGGATCCGAAGCGGGAGATTGTGTGCATTCATCAACGTTTAATGTTGCTTAACAGAATCTATTCTATGAGCATGCATATATTCAAACGTACATATGCATACATTCAAGCTTTATTCGCTATAAATCGATTTATTAAGTACCTTTGAGATATATAATTTTACATATGTGTAATCATATGTAAACAAGCATATGAATATATTCAATGGATTGGTTTAAGGGAAAATCTACAGGAAACCATAGAATTTCCCATTAAATCTGTGGCTTTCCTGTAAAATTTCCCTTAAACCAATACATTGATATATAGTTCTATGCTGAACCCATGTTCAACAAAATCTTTAGCTGCCAGCTGCTTCACCTGGGGTCGAGCCCTGGGCCCGTCTCAGTTCGATAAATGTCTCTGGTTGGTTTCTTTTAACCAATATATAGACCATTATATATAGATACAGATAGGGATTTAGATATTGATATAGAACAAAAATATACATATCAAATGCATTACATTGTATTACTGCATTATTATTATCGCACATGTGTATATATATATGTATATATAATATGTGGCTAATGGTGACAGTGAAAGTCCCATCACCATCTCAGTTTTTTCTTTTCGAGCCTGGTAAATCTTGGCCACCATGAAGACCAGGCGTCGTTGATCGGTGTCTGAGGTGATCTCTTGTCCCAGGGCGTTGTGCGGAATCGACGTGATCCTTGGGCAAAAAGCCAGCAAGTTCCATCGATTTCCCTAGCAAAGTCCACGGAAACCATGATGAAACCCATGGGAAACCCGTGGATTTGCATGTGTCAACACCATCCCCAAACTATTGAGGTTCTCCTCTAGCGGCTATCCCTGAAAAAATCGACTTAAAATTTCCGTCTCCGCCGACGATTCGGATTGAGTTGGGGGGACTTGGCTTGGTTTTCATGGGTGTCCAACAAAATCCAATTGACATGGATGAAATCGACGTGGATCTCCCTTTCGGATTAGTGATCCTGAGGCCCCAACGTGTCCGTGAGAAAGAAGAGGATGTAAAAACACCCGAACCATGCGCCGGTATTCCCTGGCGACATGGACCATGGTGGGCTGCATAAGGCCTTGGTTACCAGTGCTGAGATGATCTCAGTTGGATCAACTGAAGAATTCTGAACTTCAACGGATCATCGGGTGGAGCAACTTGCTAAACTTATACTAACCTTTATACACCAAACCCATGTATCTGGGTAAATTATAATATTTCACTACCCTGAATTAAGGCCCATTTGGGGATGATTTCCCTTACTAACCATGATTTCTAGGTTTCGGTCGCAGTGAGGTCGTTATTAAATTTATCCAGATGTATTAAGCTACGCAGCTACACCATAACTCCGTTTCCCAAGAATTCACCCGATTTCATCGGACCCTTTAAGGACCACCCCCATGGCATCCACCCGGTGACCACCAAACACAGCGCGTAGAGACCGCAGCCCACCAGCACAAAGGGCCGCCGACGCCCGAAGCGCGAGGTGAAGCCATCCGAGATCTGTGGTTTTTTCAGGTCAGCCGGGTGGGTACCCTCTGGGAAACATACAAAAAACTATGGAAAGATCCACCATGTTTCATGGGAAAATCCACTATAAATTTTTAAATGGCCATTTTCAATAGCTATGTTAAAAATTACCAGAGGGTATCAACAAGTTGCTTCACCATGAAACAAAGGTGATTTCATGGGAGATAGTGGGAGAACTCACACCTCAAAATTGGAAGATAGATTGAGATAGTGGGATAGACTGGATGATATTCATGCGAGTTTTCACGGGGATATACGGCTTTGGAACTAACGGATTATAATTCATCCGGATATGTCTGAATGGATGATGAATGGAAAAACTGAACGGATTATGGGATCATACACCTACAAATAACATCAAATAACAAGGAAGTTTACCAAAAAATAACAAAGGATTTAACACCCAACAATTGGGAGATGATATGATGATCCAACATGATGATTTCATGGGATATTAATGGTGATTTTTGCGGGTTCATAGCCAGCCGACTATAATTTCTACCATTAATCCCTTCCCCCGAGAACCTATTCAACACCCCCAAAGTTTTAGCATGGTTTAGAATGGATGAAACCACACGTTTGGGACCATACAGTGAGGGTATTTAACATTAGCGGGATGGGAGTATACCGGGAAAACATTGGCTTTGGAAAATCCCGATTGTTCCCGGCGTTCCCGGCTGAACTTTCCCTTGCTCCAAGTCCAGGGGACATAATCAATCAATGCTATTCAATGCTCACTGGAGGAGAAGACAAAACAGTTACATTTATGGAGTTTTAGTGATTTTAGTGTCAGTTGGGGGGCCCATGTATTCTTAAAATAGGGAAAATTGGTGTTCCGCTTTAAAATTGAAACTCCAACGGTCCAACAAACATATGGAAGTATAGGAAAATTTGAAACAAATTGTTTTTTTACAAATATGGGGAAATAGTTCAACAAATTGGAAAACATGGGCGGGAAAAAAAAACGGAAAATATTGGAAAAATCTTCGAAAATGTGGGCAGAATTGGCCGAAAATGTGGAAGAGAAATATCTGCTTGGTGGTTTCAACCCACTCTTTTGAAAAATGATGGAGTTCGTCACTTGGGATCATGACAGTCCCAATACATGGAATAAAATTCCATGGTTCCAAACCACCAACCATCTTGATGTGTGATAATATGATGATAAACCTAGCATTTGGGGCTGGTTGGAATCCAACCCATTTATGGTAATATTGGGGATGAACCAAACATGTTCCAAACCACCAACCAGAATATGGAGATCATCCCCGTGAACCACCCACGCCTGCGCCATCAGCGGATCGGACAAGACGTCGAAGCACCGGGCTGTGGAGGTAAAGAAAGCCACGGCTCCCAGAGCCGCACCAGCCTGGTCTGTCGTGATTTTTCTGGGATTCTGAGGGAAAATCTCGAAAATTCATGGCGAAATCAAACAAATCCCATGGCAAATGTGATGTTTGAATTTGTTTGAGGGATTTTTTGAAGGAGTTGCTTTCGAATTTGTGGGCTTCTATTCTTCTTCAAAAGTCACGTTTCTTCCTAAAATATAAGTGGATCTGGTACATGATCCATTGCTAAGCCACCGAATTTGGATGCATGTAGGATCCCAAAAAAGCGTCAAAGGAGGGGGTAGTAGAAGCAACAAGAATCCCACGGTGTTTATGGATTTAGCCCTGGAATATTTGGTGCTGACTGGTACTGCAAATCATCCTAACAGAAATGATGCGGTTCAGCTTTTCCTACCTCTTTAGTCTTTAGCTGAGGTGGGCTAGACATTCAACTATGTATAGCCCAGAAGTCATCCATGAACCACTGCCTCCAGAAAAATGACAAAATGGCGTGTCATTTTTTATGCGCGTGCCTTTTTGAGTTTCAGAACCTGGGGTTTGAGCCCCAGTTTCTCTGTTGGTCACGGCTTCCAGGTTGGAGAACCCACCTGCCTGTTGGTAGAAAGTGAGCAAGTGCACACTGATCAACCTCAAGCCGTGGCTCAAGATGTCCCACATGTCCCACATTTGCGCCGACCCCAGCTTCAGCCAACACATCTACAAACTCTTAGGGCACTAAAATATGTAAAGCTCATTGAAACTCGATGAATTTGGGAAAATCATGGAAATCGATCATTTTCAGCTGACTAGAAGCAGCTGGACGGGTGTCTTGGCGAAGTCCAGTGCACCATAGGCCAAACGTTGGTAGGCTTGCACTTGGAACTCTTGCATTGATGCTGGAAATGTTGAGAAGCACCTGCACTCTGGAATCCTCACAGCTGACTACTGCAAACAGGAGTCATACTATTTTGAGTCCTTGCCATCCTTTTCCTTCTCGTTCCTAGGCGGCTGCAAGCGGCAGGTATCATACGGTATGACTTTCTAGGCATCCATTCGGCAATACTTGCCAGCATAAGGTAGGGATAGGCAGGGCATGTATTTCATTCGCCTGGTTTTCTTGACATGAAGCACGGTCAGCACTGCAACAAACGAGCCCTTCCGGAAAGCCAAATTTCAACTCTGCTCAATTTCATCCACAGTGGTTAACCGTTAGCCTTCTTCTTGGTGGTTTTGAATCCTAGCAACCCTGACTATGGGGTTGCTGATCACCAGCATCCAAGGGACGGAAAGTAGGCCTCACTGCGATCCTTCAAGATGCGACGGAGCTCGGCTCCCGCCTGAAACCCGCCATGACTAACTGGAAATGATGCCATTTGGGGATCCATCTTACACTTGACCATGGTGCCAGACAGCTATCAATCCTCCATCAGATTTCATCGTTCACCGCCTCCGAATGTCGACTGCTCAATGAGTTGTGCAGGTCGCCGTGCATCGCTTGGGCAGAACGCCTAATGAAGCTCGGTGCCTTTTGTCGCTGGAGTTGCTGTTGCAAACTCGGAAATGGGGAAGAACCCCCAGCAGTGCCTGAAAACTTGAGTTTTGTTTTTTTGTTTTTTTAATATGGGTATATATTAATAATATAGTTATTATCATGGAATTATCATTGTCTGCCTATGTCTGATATCATGGCTACCTCCTCTTCCATCACTTCTCAACTGTGCGCAGTACGAAGGCCGGGTTCGTCCTACAGTTACAGGCGATTGCCCATTCCCATGGCCCTGCGCGCTACCATTTGATCCGCAAGCTGCGGTGGTGCCAAAGGGCAGCAGACCTTCCCGTTTGGTACCTGCACCTACAAGGTGGTGCCCCCAAGATAGCTAAGTTGGTTTATAACTCCAATAACTATGGTTTATAATAGGTGATATATCTATATATAGTTAATGGGCTTATAAACCAACTTATAACTGGGGGGCACCACCTTGTACCCCGCGCAATGCCTTTCTTCGAGTTTAAAAATGGATATCCAGCTGACAAACTTGAAAAAAGCACCAGGCAAGCCATCATGCCGCTGGAGTAACATACGTACAGTACAGTACACAAAGGCATCGAAGGCGCGCAGGCGCATTCCTTGACTTTTTTCTTTTCTGCCTGCAAAATCGATCACTTCCCTAGAGTCATTGGCACGGCTCAACAGCTAAGCGCTTGTTTTCGCGCCGGGCCGGCCGCTCTTCAATTCTCTCACAGACTTCTGGCAGCCAACTTGGCAAAGTGCCCCCCGAGGGACACCAGCTCCGAGTAGGTTCCACGTTCGACCACCTGTGTGGCAATCAGACATGGGCCCGTGTTCAACAATTGATTTTTTTGTCATGTGGTCTTCCCTCCGGTAATCAAACATGGGCAATATAAAATATACCATTCATAGATGTTTTTCCCATTAAAACCTCCATTCATGGGGATTTGACATTGCCACGGTTGATTCATCTAGCATCATCTAGCGGCTAAATTCTACCAGTTCACCAACCTGGCATCCTGACTGCTCATGATGTTTCATGCTCAAAAAAACTTCGCCCAAGTTGCATCACAACATCGATCTCTACCAAATCCCGCATCATCTTGGACCATCCCATCCACCTCCGTCCCATCATCCCAACATCCCGCCGATTAGTCCCATGCTTTGCCGGAAAACCAACCAGTTTCTTCGATGATTTTCCCATTCAAGCCCAATGCTATCGGGCTAATCATGCCGTATTACGCCATCAAATCCACATTCTTGCTTACATCATCTTACATCCCCATTTGTAGATCCTATGGATCCTATAGATCCTAAAGATTCTATAGTCCTATATTCCATCCCCATCCGCAACCTGTCCATCCAGCAGCACAAAGATCTGATCCGCGCCGCGGATCGTCGACAGCCGATGCGCCACCGTGACGCTGGTGACGCCTTTGGCGGCGCGCTGCAGTGCCTCTTGGACCAGCGCTTCGGTGGCGCTGTCCAGGTCAGAAGTGGCCTGGCAGGGGCCAAGGCAGCCGGACCAGGGCGGGAGGATCATCCTAAAAAACAAGCCAAACATGCACAAAAACCGTGCAAAAAGCAAGGGAAATCGATGGTGTTGTCTGGAAATGATCTAGAAATGTGGAAATGATGTTCTGGATCTATCTTAGTGTGAGGGTAGCAACTGACAAAACATGACAAACCCCTGAGCGCTCAAAGTTGTGATAAAAGCTATCCCAAGGTGATCCCTTTTTCGAACTGGTGACATGATGTGAAGTTACCACAGCAAGTTGGGGTGATCCATGTGATCCATGATCTGGGTACCCTCCGGTAAACAGACAAAAAGCTATTGAAAATGGTCATTTATAGTTGATTTTCCCATTAAAAATTGTGATTTTCCATAGCTATGTTCAATTACCAGAGGGTACCCACCCGGCTCCTCATCCAACAGCAAGATCTTTGGGTTTCTCAGCACTGCGCGCGCGATGGCGCAGCGCTGCCGTTGCCCGCCACTCAGCTTTTCGCCCCTCAGCCCCACTCGGTCCGTCCAGTGCCTCACGGCTTAGGGTTTTTTTGGGACGGGTGCTGTGGTCATTCAGTTGACTTCATCGGAAATCCAGGTGTGAAAACTCTGATAAAGACTCTGGAAATTGCTGATTCTGGTCATTTGAATGGACACGTTCCAATTAAACCATGCTTTGAAGGGAGACTGTGTTGGTTGGAAAGTGTAATTCTTGAGGTTTTCCATGTTCAAATGAGCAGTGTCCAAAATCCCTCTGTCAGTCCATTTAATCCTGGTTGGTTTATAGGGATTCCCCTATTGGGTGCTTATAATCCCCAGTATATTGAGTAGTATAATCCCCAAACTAATCATCAACCAACAGGGTTTTGAACACTGCTCAAATGTCTTGCCAACGATGGGATCCCATCCAGCCAGCCTTGAGCCATCGAAGACATAGTCCATGTTCGCCACGCGCGCAGCTTGCACGACTTGCTCATGGGTAGCCTGGCTGGACGATCCTTGCAAGGATGGAAAACAGATATATGCATTGGTAAAGTATGAATATATGATAATATATAGATAGATGGATAGTTATACTATAGTTCAACAAATGGATTTAAGTTAAGAATATTGGAACACTTGAGATATCTTGTGTTAGTCTTTGACACTTCTGGATCACTTTTCTTGTGCCCAGATTTGATGCTTCTTTGCTGGAGAGGGAGCCCGTCAAATAGCCAAATAGGTCTAGCAAAAAACAATGGGGCGAGGCGGGCATGGGCCCACAGAATTTGCCATTCTTAGTGTGATACGGTGGATGGAAGAAATCCTGCACCAGTTGATAGGTAGTTTGTTCCATTATTTATAGGGTTTCAACCATCCAAGGTGGTGCAGGATTTCTTCCATCAACAGTACCATCCAATTTTCGCACTTTTGGGACGTGGATAGTCACTGTAGTCTTGATCTATCTTGACTCGTCCCCAGATTCCACCTCCTCGCAGCCATATTTCACGTTCTCCTGGCTGCTCTCACACCAAAGCTGCGGAACAAAACCGATGAGAGAACCGGGGAAACGTTCATGTGTGTGGATCAAAACGGAAGACCACCCAAGCCAAAGATGCTCGATGTATCGAACCCTACAACCATACAAACCCCTCTTCCAACCCCCTGTGCACCTCCGGATGATTGTTGAAAACCCAAACAACTTTGCCCCCATAATTAGTGATGCACCCCTTCCGCTTCCACTTGTAAATTTGGCAGTTGCTCTCGCCAGCAAGAAAGTATTGCCTTCAAATGTGCTGAAATTCCTATATAGTTACAACATGTTACGATGTTCAGAAAGAACCAAAAAGACTCTTAATTGACAGCAACGAAAACAGTGCCCCCATCCCTACACATCTTCCACCCAGCAACAAAAACAAATCCTCCAGGGTCAGGTCGAACAGCATGGGCTGCTGACCCACGAGGCCAATCTGCTTCCTCCACCAACTCACATCCAGCTGCTTCAGGTCTCGGCCCCCCACTGTGATGAGACCCTCCTGAGGATCATAAAACCTCAGCAGAATTTGTGCGCATTGGTAGGTGGAATCCCCGGGCTGGATGGGAACCCGATGATCATTTTCCAACATCACTTTCAGAAGTGCACATCATTTTCAGAAGTGATCTGAATGTGATGTGGATTTTTGATGATTTTTAATAAACTGATGATTTAATGATATATACTGCCTGCATCATCGCAGTGGTATGCCCCAACTCATTGGTTTCACCCTCCAAAATCTGGGTGCGATCTCCCCTTTTCTCTGCCATTCTTGGCCATCATTCCCCACAACAGTTGATTGTTTCCCAAAGTCTGGCTGATTATCTCAGATTCCCTAGGGCCTACGTTTTCTTGCCTCGACCCCGTTGTTGTTGGTTGCATGCTTGCGGTTTTGAACACCATGTGGACTTGGAAAGAATGACAGGGGTTGCTGTCCTGCAGCCACCACACCTCCAACTCACCCTATCCGGCCTCAAAAGGAGCTGAATCACAGTGGATTTTCCACTGCCAGAGTAGCCTACCAATGCCACCTGGCGCCATTCAACACGAACATCATCTAATCATCCTTGCGGCTTGTGGCTTGGTGTTTTCACCACGGTAATGATTCAACATTCAGAAACCTGAATGCCGTATACTTACTTGGCACCATATTCAGAAACCATGCTTAGCATTCAGAAACCATATTCAGAAAAAAAAACATGTTGGTACCCTTGCCCTTCCATGCTAACCCGCATGTATGGCAGGCGACAAAGGTCAGTGGAACTCATCCATGTGCTTCCCTCCTTTCTATGCCATGCCCCAAACCTTCCCATCATTTCATCCCCCTACGCGTATCTAAGCACATAGATGAGCATCTGAGGAATCGGAAGTTGGTGATCTGAAGTTCCCAACTCAATAAAGGCATTACAGCAAGTCATTCTTCATAGATAATTAGATAGATAGATAATTATAGAGAGAGAGAGGAGAAAAAAAACTACAAGATGATATCAAAACGATGCATCGCACAAGTAACTTTCACTGGGATGAACCTCCCAACGACTCCCCACCTTCTGCCCCTTGCGGATGTTCAAGCTCATCTTGCGCAAGACCAGGATCTCCGAACGGTGCGGGTAGTAGAACCCCACCTGCCACGGTTGATTGCTACACCCTGGAGATTTCGCCCGAAACAATGGGGGCATATGGGGGTATCGCCACCCAAAAAGGGACTACTTTGCTACTCAAATGACAATGAAGATCCAATTCAACAGCCCACTTCAAAAGATTCGGGGGTTGACATCATACTTCAACTTGCCCCAAAAGTTGGGCAGATCTCCAAAAATCAGACCTCCCACGGCCAAAAGATAGGCCTCCTTCAAGCAGATACTGCCATCTCCAAGGTTTCGAACTTCCCCGTCCGGCTCAACGGCATCGATCTTGGAGCTCTGGTCGATCAAGCGGAAGACCTCCTTGGCCGCCACGACCCCGGAGGCGCTGTCCGGGAGGTACATGGCCATGATGCTCACGAACATCACCCCGAAGACCACCTGAGATGGAGGTGCCACAACGTGTGTTGCTCGGGTTTGGGGGTTGGCTTCCGACACCTGATGTTTGTTGCTTTATGCAAACCCCCAGGAACTAAGGTCGACCTAGCAACGGCAGAAACAAAAAAAAAAACTCCACCGATAGCTGATAGCTAACCAACTTAGCTATTTGCGCCTCACCTTCTAGCTGAGTTTCCCTATCAATTGGTCGATGGAAAATGGAAATCCATGAAGCAAACCGAGGCTTACCCAGAAATCTGATGGGAAGCCTGCACTGTTTCATGCGTCTTGGCTGATTGTTCTTTGGTAGAGTTCTCATATGATCAACCACCAGGACGGGGATCATCAGATAAAAGTTCTTCAGAAAATCTGCCACCATCATGACGGTGTCCCAATATTTTTCGGGCAAAGTACGCCATGAAATATAGGATAATATAGGTCACAATTAAATTTTCAAAACCAAAAAGAAACCCAATATTCACCAAATCAACTGGATAGTATAAACATGTATTAACCCCTATCCAAACCAACCACTTCTTAAATTTTAGGCTCTCAATCCGCTCCCCCCGGGGCCCTGGATCGCCGGGAAACAGCGAAGAGTGTCAGCAGCACTTTGGGCGGGTCGAAGTAACGGCTGCTGATCATCACGCCCGACAGACCGAAGCCGATCAAGTAGATCAAAGAAACCATACCTACAGCAACGACCGCTAGGGAGTTTGATTTGGGCGTGCTAAAAATGGGACTTTTTATGATCTATGGCGTGTGTGGCTTTTCATGGGATGTCGAATGCGATGTCCGATCGTATTAAGTTTTTTTCTATTTGATTTTTCTGCGATTGATGGTGCTTTGGGATTTTTATTTGGTGATTTGAATTGGGATGTTTGTGAAATATTGGTATGAATCCATGGGAGTTCTCAACATGGGATGTCATCAGTTTTTTGCCCTTTGAAATTTCAGGATTTAGCTGATTATAGTTGATTAAATTGAAAATATTGATTTCACCGGTGAGAATTGAATCTGGGGTTGTCCTTTAACATAAGGTACCTACCCGAGGATTTAGCAGATTGAACATGATGATCTCCAAACCATTGGAAGTTGGGGCATCAAAATTTCAGACAAACCCAGTCTATCTGATCCTATCGTTGTCTTGTCCTTTTTATGTCGTCTCACTAGAAAAAACTAGTTCATCTTATGGCATGGATTTTTTTGCCTTACCCTATCTTATCTTATCTCTCCATGGTTTTTTGCCATTTTTTCTTGAGACCTCAGCACTTGGGTAGTGACATGATATGTTTGTACGCGGGTGCCAAACCATTGGGAACTCACTGCTGTGGATGAACCATGGTTTTCGCCCCTGAATCCGCAGCATGGCTCAAGGCCCTTTTTCTATGGACCATTTACACCTTTTAGTGAAAATAAATAACATAGAAGAAATTAGAAGAATGTGCATCTTGTGAATCAGAAACAACTTTTTCCAAATCTGAGGCGCCAAGCATCAACGTCATCAACCAAATCATCAAAGTATCTCTTTAGATCTCCCTCCCCCAAGGCTCCATCAGAGTCGGGAGGCTGCTGGTGAAACCGAAAGCAAAGGCCCTTTTCACCGCCATGGATCGGTTCCAGGTGGCTACCACCTGGAAAAACCCAGGTCTGTGGCTACCATGCCGAAGCGATCAACCTACCATGTGGGGATGGCAACCTAAGCCATGGCAACATTGGGGGTGATGGGTTATGATGGGTGTGCCGCAAGCCCATCCCCCTACCATTCAATGCCTCCTAAAGTAGGACTGGATCCATTCATTTCGGGGCGCCCCTTTTTTGGGGTGTGTGAATTTCATGTGTTTGCCAGGGCTTCATCTTCGCGCCGGGGATGGGATTTGAAAAGCTGGAAACTTGGAAACTATGAGGTAAGTATCATGTATGTGCTTTGGGGCCTCATCTCATCTTGCGGATGCTTATGGAGATCCGGGATTGTGATGGTCTTTCCGAATTAGTAAGCCGTATATCACTGGCGGCATTCCATCTACAATCTACAACGCGATGGGAAGCATGGTTATTGACCACATGTTCCTGGGATGCAGGTCCAAGCAGGACATGATGATGTTCTGCAGATTCAATGGGGCATGGGCTTATAACTTAGGGTTTTATCCAAGGCAAATGGTGATTTAAATGCCAAAACATCTGCTAAGCTAAGCCTAATCATGAACCTTCCTAATCCTCCCTTTTGAATGGCTTACAAACCTGAAACCTCTGGGTTTTCCTGGGTTTGCCAGAAAAACATGGCGACTGGACATGATACCCCATTCTCTTGGGGCCAGCTCATCCAACCACTCTTGATTTCTTAGTGTTTTGGCATTCGAACCAACGATGCACGAAAATGGACAAACCTTTACTGTATGAAATGCATTTGCATTTTCATGTGGATGTCTAAAAATGTTGAACATGTGATACCATGTGATACCCCATTCCATCCCATGGTCTTTTAAGCTGAATGGTTTCCCCAGCTGATGGCCTCCAGGGAGTCGGTCATGATGTTCAAGGTGTGCTCCTGGTGCCAGGATTTTCCCAGGTTTCTCCTGCTGTGTAGTTTGTGCCACTTTGGGGAACCCCTGTTTTTTGGGTTTCGGAAACGATAAATAATCATCCCAGGATGTAAAATGTTGAGCCCCGCACATCAGCAACTACAGGGTCATATCTCCAGTTTTTTCCCATTGGCCCATTGAGTATTAACATAACCCTCCACAACCATCCACAACCAACGCCTCGTGGAATATTAGCCATAAACCAGCTTAGTCACTCTAACTCATGGAAATCCCATGAAATCCCCAACTTTTGTTGCTCAACTCCATGAAATCCATCCCCACCTCGGCCCGCAGCGCCCGCACGGTGCGGATGTTGGTGACCGCCTCGGTGGTGGTCTGCGAGGCCGTGGCGTAGGCCAGCTCCGCGCGGGAGTCCACCTTGGCCGCCGCCGTGGTCAAGATGGTGCTGAGGCCGAAGCCTGGGTCGGAGCAACGCAGCTGGTGGAGGAGCCAAGGAGCTAAGGAAAATGCAGGATCTGAACTCTGGAATAGCATCAAACATGGCTAAAATATCGGGAAATGAATGGAAACTATATATGTGTGCATTGCGATGGGAAAATTCATCGAACTATACTAAATGGCAGATTTCCAGCTGGCCACGTTCGATTACCAGAGGGTATGGGAAACCCATTTGATTTTATTAATGAGATTGGAAAACCTCCGTTTTTAAAGGAGAAGTTTTGAAAGGAAAAAAACCCGATGTTTCATATGAGAATCACAACGAAATTGCGAGTTTACATGTGTAGCAAAAAAAGGGACTATTGATGATCAATGGATTGATTTAAAGGAAAATTACAAGAAACAATTCCTGCGAATGTTCCCTTCATCCAGTTCGTTGGCAACGTTAATGTCTTATCCCCTTAGTACAAAATAACCCGAATTTATTGTATGTTGGAGTTCGGTATTGTGAACAACCCAATGCACCCCTCCAAGAGGAGGAACTTGGGTGGGGGCCTTATCACACTGACTGGTTGGTAAGTGGGCCATAACCAGTTGCAAACAGTTGCAACCAACTACAACTGTTTACAACCAAGAATCCATTAGTAAGTAAGTGGTTTGGAACCAATAATAACTGGGATGTGATGGGATGTTTGTGTCATTTCCTGACCAGCGACACCAACTCCACGGATCAATTTCAAAGAGATACGGAAAGCGAAAGAATAATGAGGAAAATGGTTGATGTGCCCAAGTTAGCCGTTACAACATGCAGAACATGTTTGGTGGAGTGATTGATGTGTTTATCGAGGGGTTGGGGCACATGTTGCTCTTGATTCATCCCATCGCCCTTGTTATGACATTCTCCCCAGGTGGGACTCCGAAATGGATCCCATCCGAAACCAAGATGTCCATCCGACGTTCATATCAAACACCTAGAAACCATGGTTTTTTGTAGGGGATTAAACCACAGCATTGGGACCATACAATGGGGGTGTTTTATATAAACGGGCGATGGGCTGATTCATCAATATATTCATCATCGTCATATTTTGCCAGTTATCATCTCGACTCACTATATCCTCATCATAATCCTACAATAATCCCATAATTTCCAGTGATGGGATTAAATCCGTGGCCTTTTCCAACGTAGCAACCGAGAGGCCTATGGGAAGGACGGCCAGCAGAACCAGCGCCAGGATCCAGGACCCGAAAAAACTCAGGATAATGCAGGCCAGGCATGTCAGCACCTCAGTGCTAGGGGCCCCACATCCCAACCTTTCTGGGATGAAATCAGCCATGAACCAATGGTGATTTGATATGGTCATATTAATATTCATGGGTATCGCCATGGTTAGCGAAGGAAGTTTGGAAGCCAAACTTCCGATCAATCTCCAGAGATCTGCTCCCAGGCACTGCTCCCAGTGTGTTGGCCAGGTTCACACCAAAGATTTGCGAGACGCGAGTCATGTGACGCTCCAGGGAGACCAAGAGGCTGGCGGTTTGATTCCTCGACCCGCCAAAACGCGTCTTGGAACGCGAGGGTTTTGGAACACCACTCAGGGTACAAGCCAACAAAGAATGGCTTCCAAACTTTTAGAAAAATATGCAAACAGGAATAGATTCCACAATTCCAATGGGGTTCAACTGGACCTGAATCCCTTTGTTCATATACGGTATACCATGGGTCAATTTAAAAAAAAAGCCGCCTTGCTTCCCAATAGGCGAAGAGATGAGGGCCCATCTAGTTTCACCACATCTTCCCAAATCATTGGTTGCTTCAAAGCCCAGCATCTCGGGTGTATCAAAGAAGCCCATGTGCATCCGGATGGTGCTACCGAAGGCCGCTTTCCGCAGTCGCAAGCTGATGCCCTCCTGGTGTTCCAAAGCCCCTCTGGTCATTCTAAGCTGAAAAAATGCACCATTTACCCTCTGGTAAACTAACATAGCTATTGAAAATGGCTATTTATAGTGGATTTACCCATTGAAAATGGTGATTTTCAATAGCTATGTTAAATTACCAGAGGGTAATTTAGTTCCATGGTTTTCCATTTTCAATCTCCATTTGTTCGTGATTTTCCAGCCACCTTTGATTCCCAGAGGGTGCCCATTGAAAATGGCGACGCTCATCGGCTTCGCCATGGGGCCCGTTGCTTTGGGATTCTCACTGGGTCCAAAAAAGCTCACAACTGCTCCTGCAAAAAGGTGAACAAGCTGTTCTGGATAAATACGCTGATGCCAAAGATGATGCCTACCACCACCAGGCCCAGGCACGCTGTATCCAGTTCTTGCAACATGTCTTCCAATGAATGGGAATAAAAGCTCATCAAGGCGCGATTGAAGAAATAGGCCTCGCCACGGCAAAACTCCAAGAAAAAACATAACGGCCTCCAGATGCACATGCTCATGATCTGTTCCATCTTGGTTGCCTATCTCCCCCCCCAAACAGAAACCCGTCAGAAACCTCCTGAAAACACCCCTCCATCCCCTCCATCCCCTCCATCCCTCCTGCACCGGTGAACATGCGGCTGCCATCACCACGGCCAGCATCGCAGCTGGGATCATCAGCCAATCCTCCCGCGCCGCACGGAAGAGGCGCCGCAGCGTCCTGGGACGTTTGGGATCCGTCACCGCATCGTCGCCCGTGTCCAGCTCGGGGATCTGGAGCCAAGAACCCGAGAGACTCCTGGGAAGACATCAACGGAGGGGTTGTTGAAAGGAAGATCTATGGAAAATGGAAAAGCCATGGGTTTGGTTCACTGAAATCGGGAGTGCAGCGTTGTTTGGTGGTTTTACCGAATTCCGGATTTACTGATGAGCAATGGATTGGTTTATATAAGGCGCTTTAAGGATCTTTAAGGAAAAATCTATTGTCTGAAACCCATGGTATCTATACTATACCGGGAGGCTCAACTTGCGGTGAAGCAGTGTGTAGAGAAGAGGGTCCCGACGACCAATTCCAGGACATGAGGCCGGATGAATTTCCAAAGGCAGCGAAATTGGCAAAATCCCCGCGACTCGGTGGGATTATAGTCATATTAAAATTGTAAGATTGATTTTACCAAGAAAATGATGAAACAGGTTCCTGCCAATGAGCAGGGGGCATCCTTGTTCTGTAGATCAAGGTGCAGCCATTTTTTCAGGTTGTTCTGTTCAGTCTCTACAATGTTCTATCATTTTCTGCTGGGTTAGGATCCCCATCATATCCCTCAAAACACGGGTTCTCTCAAGTCCCACGCGTTTACCAATCACGTCCAACTTCCAAGCTTCGTAATGCCAGAGTTGAAGGCCGGCTGGCTGGATCTGGTGTCTGCATGGGTCTTTCTGGTGACCTGCCGGAGGAGTCCCCCAGAGAACCAAAAACCTCAAGGGGGCTGAACCTGGCCTGTCGGGACAGGGGGTGAAGGGCCTCCGCCGCGCGTTTGGCTGTGGCGGCCTGCCTTGGCAACGATGGCGGGCACCATAGGACGCAAAAATGTGGCAGTTCATGGCAGTTCAAAAGGCAAAACTCCGTTGTTTGTTATTGTAGGCAGTTCAGCTATAGGATTGTTTGTTCACCAGTTGCTCATTTCTATGCCCATATGTTTTTGTTTCAATCATTCTAGTCACATGTGCTCATTTTATTCACATGTGCTCAATCTACTTACACGTGTTGATATCATGGTTCCTGAGTCCCTCTTGATAGTTGGGTTCCCACCCGGTTGGTACTAGTATTGGCCTTATGGCAGCTGGTTCCCCATTTTCAAAACACCCCTCGCGCGTGGAACGCGCTCTAAGAACGCAGTTTCACCACTTGGCTAGCATTTTGGGGGTCCACCTGGTTGCCGCGATACTTCCAGCTGGCCCCCCCGCACCAACATATCCAACATCCACAATACTAGGTATTTAGATGTATTTAGCAGCTGTAACTTAGCCAATGTATATAAACTGATATAACCTTATTGACCTGGAACTTAAGGGAATCCCAACAGTGGTTCACATCTCATAGAATTGGATTATGGGAAAAATTACGGGAAATCCCAACCAATTTGATGGTCAAAACCCATGGGTTTTCGGTTAAGATTTTCCCTTAAACCAATCCAGTGGTTCACATCCCTGCCAATCTTCACTGGTCGGTCTTCCGCCCAGATCCACCAGATTTTCCCAAGTCAAAAGGCTGGATGGAGGCCATTGCGTAGTACTGCCCCTGGCGGGCCATGAGCTCCGAATGTGAGCCCTGTTCCACACAGCGGCCCTCCGACAGCACGTAGATCCTGCTGCGGCTGAACCCTGTTGGGTTCTTCCCAAAACAGAACCCAGGCCTTACTGGAGATAATCTCCCATCAAACATGGCACATCAACCAAAAGAAGTGGCTAAAACCTAGTTCATGGTATGTACTTTCATCAACTCAGGTCCTTTTGGGGGAAACAAAACTGCATGTCTTTATTTGATGTGAACCCAGGATTCAGAAAAAACCACTCCCAGTTTCTTCATGGATCTTCATGGTGTGCCAAACGCGCCAAGGCACACGTCCGAGTTGACGATGGTCGTCAAGCGGTGGGCGATGGACACGGTGGTCAAGGCCCGCCCAAGGGTCTCATCCAGGGAATCTAAAGTGGCCTGGAATTGCTGGAGGCAAATTTGATAGTGGATGGCTGGTTGGTGGTTGACCTACCGCTCTGAAAAATGATGGAGTTTTAGTCAGTTGGGATGATGACATTCGTTCCAAACCACCAATCAGATGGTGTTACCAACAAACATTCCGGGTTGGAGTGGCAAAAAACGGATGTCAGAAGCAAGAAACAATAGGAAACATGTAGCAAATCTGGTGGAGGTCCAGACGCATTCACTTCTCACCAAGCCCATGCCATCATGCCATGTCCCCCAACCTGCACCATGCGCTCGGATTCGTTGTCCAAGGCTGAAGTGGCTTCATCCAACAGCAAGACCTTGGGTTTCTTTGCCAAGGCCCGTGCAATGGCCACCCGCTGCCGCTGACCACCCGACAGGGTTCCACCTAGCGCAAGGCGTTGAGTTAGCCACTCAGTTGGATGCGACTGTGCCATTGTTACCGTTTTTTGTTACATAACCCAGCTACTACCCACTGGCCATCACCTTAGTTGACCCACTTGCCCGCCACCACCCATCAACAACTTGCTTTACCCCTTATTTTCCTGCTTGAACCCTTGAGTTTTTTTCGATATTTTCTTCCCCTATGGTTCATGGTGACACCTTCCACCCAGCCACCATCCCCTGCGGCACCTCCGGTGCCCAGGAAGGTGTCCAGGCGCTCGGGCAGCGCCGTCAGCGTCTCCAAGATCTGCGCCTGGCGCGCAGCCTCGATGGCCTCCTCGTCGCTGATGGCGTCGCCCGCCTTGCCCCGTAGGGGGTCCCAACGGAGCCACCGGGGGAGGGAACACATGGCAGGTGGGGGCGTTTCGGAATGGCCACTTGAAGGCTAAGGTTGGACCTAAGGAATCCACATAATAAATGGATTACATTTATGAGCAAGATCACTATTTTTGATGGATGTGGAGTTGTTTTTACGATTTTGGGGCTGTGAGAGAAAGACAATGCGCGCAAGTGTGCGATCAGTTGAAAGGGTAGCACCCAAGGTGCAAAAACTCCTGGAAATGGTGATGGGGATAAAATCAGAAATGCACATCTCTCCGAGTAATTGCTCGGCATTTCTGCCGCAACTGGGTGTCTATTTGTTTTCTGTGCCTGAAATTATGTTCAAAACAGAGGTTTCCCTTTAATTCCACGGGTTCATCTTCAATTCCCCCCATTCAAATATATGCCACAACTGGGGACAACCCCATCCCCCTAATATTGAATTAACCACCAGAAACCATGGTCTAGTAGTGGGATTTCCACATACTAGTAATTGGATATATATATATATATAATAGGATGTGATATAATTGGGACATCTTGGGACCATTTGGGGGGCGTTTCATCTTAGGTGGATGGAAGTATAATGTGGTAAAACAATAATAAACCATCCCCCAGTCATCACCATTTTTATACAGTAGGTGGTATGGTTACCATCCCCAGTCATGGGTGGTTTATGACATTGTTCTACCCACATTAGTAATCATTAACCACTAATTATTACCATCATTTGCCATCGTTCACCATCAATTATAACTACTACTACATACTATTACCATCTATAGTTAGCTAAGCTTCATCCGTTGATTACCATCTATAGATTACCATCATTTACCATCATTTAAACATTTACCATCATTTTTTCGGGGGATGGGAGGCCCTACCCCCATTTTCGCTATCTTTTAGCCCATCCCCCACCTTGATGTTCTCCAGCGCCGAGGTCGCGAAGAGCACCGGGTGCTGCCCCACGTAGCCCAGCATCCGACGCCAGGTGCGCACCGGCAGGTGACGCAGGGGGACACCGTTCACCAGGACTTCGCCGAAGTTTGGGTCGTAGAAACCTGGACCAAGGTGGAAAAGACCACTGAAAATGTGGATTTCACCATCAAACATAGGGATTTGAAGAGATATACTATGGATTTTAACTAACGAATCATGGGTATGGTCAATCGGTTAGTAATAATCTTCCCATCTGCGGCATGAAAAGAGGGAATAAACTAACCCATCCGAGGCAGATCCAGTGCAGCAATCCCTTGTAGTAATTGTACCCCTCTGGAATCCACGGTTGACTATTGAATCTGTTCATGGTTGCACCGATTTTGGGCGGAAGTTCAGGCTGTGCAATGTGGAGCAGTGATGGGCATTCAGGGTTGGTGAGGGTAAGCATTGATGCCCTTGGCATCGGTTTGGGCTAACGACCCCTTGGAAAAGGTGATCTGTGACTTGCAGAGGATAATCCAACCTGGCAAAGGCAAGCCATGGAAAAGAATCGGAATATCGTTGAAGGTCAATCCTTTACACATGAAGGATGTTCATGGATTTTCCTCTTGCCATGTCAGCTTTCCAGCATCCGTCCAACACCAAAGGAACGTTCTAGAAGTTGGATGGTGGTACTCTTGCCACAGCCGCTCTCACCAACAAACGCCACTTTCTGGCCTGCAACGATTTTGGGTTGGGAGGATCATGCAGGTGGGGAAGTTTTTGAAGGGAATTCTGGGTAAGGCAGCAAAGCGGACGAAGAATCCGAAAGCTGTGCGGCTCCCTCTGGCGCAAAATGGTTTCTGTGCAAGATATGTTTCAAAGTTCTGAATGGTTTTGGGGGGCGCTTGCCCCAAAAAGTTCCCCACCCCAAAGCGCCAACCATCTTGCCGGAATCTTGCCCATTGCCCAGCCGCCATTGGGGCCTTTGGAGATGGAGAAGCTGAGTTTATTCAGAACCACCTTCTCTGGACGACTGGGATAGCTGAAGCCAACCCCCCGGAACTCGATACTCTGCACATCCAGCAGGTTTTTCGGAGGGTCGTCATCTTCAAAGCCTGGTGTCACGGCTGGATGTGGTGGCCACAGGACACTGGAGGGATCTACAATGGATAATGAAGATTGATAAGGAGGATCGCTAGCTCTTGCCAAGGATTCGAATCCAACGCCCAAAATCGAAAAATGCAAATCCTAACGAAGACAAAGAAAAAGGTGTCCAACCATCTGGCTCCCAGCCACCGTCTGGTTCAATCTCTCGATCCTTCCAGCGGATCATCTCCTTCAAACTCTTGGCCGAAATAATGGCCTTTGCCATCTGTGGAGCATAGCCACTAAACCTCAGCCAGCGGTGCAAACCTGCAGGGGTTCCAACATGTCCCTATAACTTTATCTACAGATGGACAAACCAAACAAACACAAATATATGTATATATATATATAATACCTATTTATTTGTTGATGTATCTATTTATCTATTTATCTATTTATCTGTTTATTTATCTATCTATCTATCTATCTCTCTCTCTCTCTCTCTCTCCAGCGCCATCTCTCAAGTTCATCTATTTATCTATGTATTTACTTTTTTATTTATACCCCCCAAAAAAAAAGAAATGTTGGTGGAAATGCCAAACATCTAGCCTCGACACACCAGCAAAATCACTCTTCGAAAAAATGACCATTTCAGAATCTCTCTCCGAGCAGCTGAGAGATCCCTGTCATGCCAGTAATGAGCGCAACGAGGACCACGATCACATCCCCGCCGTTGACGTCGGAATGGGTGTGGCCTTCCATCCTCCGAGCGATCAGCACATGGCCACCGAACCACAGGGTCAAGGCATAGAGGCAGGTCATGGCAAAGTTCTGGAGGCCCCAGAAGCAGCCAATCCTCAGCATCATGGCGAGTCAACATGACTCAACTACGAAGAATGTGGGATTGATGCTACAATGCTACAACATATTGGGAGATTGCTAAGATCTAGTAATCTAGTTTGTAAACAAGGCCAAATAAAAACAAATACGCTCAAATGTTTACAATCTTAGCACCAAAATGATCAAGTAGGCGATCTAACCCCCTAGGCTTCTGACACAGCATCAAAAGCCATCCCCTGCATGCTGAGTGCCATGTGTGCTGACCCCCCTGGGAGTGATAGCCCGGCACCTTTGACTGTAAATTACTACTTGGGGTGTCCCAACATACTAGTCTACGATTGCTTCTTAAACCAATTTTCGATATTGATGTTGAGTTTTATGATAGCTTCTTGGTCATTGTGCTGACTTAACCTGGTTACAATTCCCCCATCCCCCTTTTGGTCGCCGAAACTTTGGTTTTGTGGACTCCAATCCCCAAAAAAAATCTATCCGAAGCCCCATCTCGTTCATCTCCCATCTCCTCCAAGTCGCCTAATGCCAGACCTGATGCCGCCCTTCCTGGCTCTGCCCAGCTGCTCTTCAAAGCGCTGCTGCTGGAAGCGCTCAGTGCCAAACGCCGAGACCGTGCGAACGCCCATCAGGGACTCCTCCAGCGGATGGAGGTGGAATGTGCCATGATACCATGGAGAACCCATGGGATGAGTTTGCGCAAATTATTCAGATCCATCCATATGTGTCCAGCGGTGTTTTGGTCTCACATGAAGTAGGTGCTTGGGTACAGATACTTTGCAAAGTTAGAGTTGCTACGGCACGAATTGCGGGATCAGCGTATCAGCTATTTCACCAAAAGATGAAGAAAACTCATCGGATTTGGCAGCTTCAAAAATCATGGAAGTTGAACTCCCAGGTGTTCATCGCTCCTCTGCCACGGTACTGGCCTTGTGAAAATCCCGGGTTTGATCTTCGATCTGTTTCCCAATCTGTTTAGCCAGGCAGTGCCCTGTGCACGCCAGCAAAGGGAAGGTGGCGCAAACGATCCTCGGAATTTCAAGCCGGAGCTCGCAAGGGGGAAAGGCTCAGAAAAATGGGATTGAAAATGGAGTAGTGCCGAGCTAGAGGAGAGTTTTTGACGAAAAAAAAGAGGCTTTGGGGGTACCCTGTTTTTGGACCAACCCAAAATCATGAACAGATTCGTAATCTTTTCCCTCCGACGGATTCTGGCAAACATGGACCCGCTTTTGGGGACTATCCAGGCCTGATTTGGAGGTGCAGAGGGGATGCTTCCAGTGCACTCAGTGCACCGTCCTTTCTTGCCCAAGAAATTTGCATGTGGACCGTTCAACTCCATTCAATGCGGCAACCAAGAAAAATTATGATCAACAAATTGCTGAGTTTCCTTTTGGCATAGCTACCCCATAGCTACCCCCAAGGCCACATGTCATCCACCCGCCATCTCCCCCTCTTTTTCGTTTCGGCGCCCGTGCCACTCAGGCTTGCTGGCTGTACCCGCCGGACGGGCCTTTCTCATCTTTCTCTACTGGCGAGGGGTCCATCTCCACGAGTTTCTTACTCGTTTCCAGATGTTTCCTCCAAGCCACTGCACCTGCAGGATGACTATCCGACACATCCACGAATTTTCAAGGAATTTCTGGACCGCTGGGGAAGGATGAGCATCAGTCAATTCGATCAATCGCAAAGCGAAGACTATGTCGTAGACTATGGTAGTTGTGGAAAAAAAACACACCATCATTGCATGGTTGCGAAAGTCTGAGCATTAGATTTCAATCCATGTTGACAATGGATTGTTGAAGAATCGATTGTTTTATGTTTACATCCGATCCTTGGTGTGGTCTATCAGTCTATCCGCTCCTTTGCTTGACAGTCCGCGATTTTTTGCCATCATCACCTTTCAAGGACATGAATTAAGCATCCAAAAGTCATGTTTAACCCTTTACAAATCAGGTCTCACAATTTGGACCCTGAAAATCCGATGGTGTATCACCTTTTTCCTACCCAAAATAAAACCGTCACGTTAGTAAAGCAATGTCATAAACCAGCAATATTTTCAGGGTTTATACCACCCATCAAAATGGTAAATTTGAGGTTGGCTCACTATGTTTTATAGTAAAATCCCATGGTTTACGTCCAGTTTCTCATCTTTTTCCTTATCTAAACATATCTAAACCATATTACACCCTGTTAAACCCTAGGAGTTGTTCCCTTTTTTTTGTCATTTTTCCATCTCGAAAATGGCGAAAAAAATCCAGGCCTGGGCCCTCCCGGGTCGCCACCGTCTGGCCGTCGATCTCCAGGGGCAAATCTGGTGGCAGTCGATCCATGTCGATCCCGTAGCCAAGATTTCGGAGAAATCATCAACCATGGAAACTCATGGGGAAACCATGGGCATATTTGTAGGGAAAAACCAATCGGGAAAATCGGAAACTCCGATTTTAATTGGAAAATCATCGAACTATGAGGGAGGTTCCGGCCATGGAGCTTCAGTGCCCTGTACTGACACAATCAGGTAGGGGAATATAAAATGATACAAAACCTGCTGAAAGCACTGCCCAGAAACTCTGAAAATAACCGCACTTCCGTTCCGCCTTCTCTAACAAGACATTGTAGTAAATATCTGTGCGCTCCAGAAGATTCGTCGCCACATGCCCCACCATAGGCGTGTGCCCTGCCACATCATACTGACTGACCGCCATACCACTCAAGGCGTAGCAGGTGTGATAAAAATCCGCCGACTTGGTGGGTTTATCCCTCAAGCCACCATTTGGATGCTGACACGCCAACAAGATGTACATCTGCAAGGGCTCGGGCGCGAACCTGGGTCTGAAAGACAAACAAACTAGGATTCAGTTCGATGTTATTCATAACTATTGTTCATTTGCGGAATTCTCCAAAGATTCATTTTTTCGTGAAAATGTCTGAAACATGGATCCAGAAACCAGCAATGCTCCTCTGGAAGCTTCATGTCAGCCCCACTCTGGCGAAAGGCCTCGTGCAGCAGGGGGAAAATGGCGCCCTGCCAGAAGGAGTAGCAGCTGTCCACCAGTTTATTGGCGCGGCCCTGGAAGCCACCCTCGTGGGTCATCTGCTTGTTGACCGCCCACTTCAGGAAACCTGGCGACTGTTCCCAACTTTTCAATGGCCATTTCAGGAACCTAAATTGGAGGTACCTACCATATATAAGGCCTATGTAAGGCCTATGTAAGGGAATATCCCCACAAAATATGGCCTTATATGATACAGTACCTCCATTTTAGGATCCTGGAATTCCCATTGAACTTTGGGAGATATAATTGATATAACCATTGGATACCATTGGTTATTATAGCTGAAGCAGAATCTAAATCGACAGAATGTGGGTAAAACAGTGCCATAAACCACCCATGACTGGGAATGGTAACCATGTAACCATACCACCTATAAAAACGGTGATTTTGGTATTAACATCAAATAGTAATGATTTTTACACATGGTAATTTATATAATGTAATGTATGGTCTAGATACCACCGATAATGATAATGATATTAATGGGTCATTAAATGTCCCCATTGAACATCACCCAACCATTAGGTATATGGTCTATAATGGCTACTATAAGGTGATGTCCAATATTCCCAAAATGGGACATTTACCAACCCCTGAATAAATTATTAATGGCTGTTTATGGCAGTAAAAATGGCATTGTTTCACCGCTCCATCCGCTCCATCTCCAAGAGGCTGTGCAAGTCCAAGGACTCCGCCCGGCCGGCGATGCAGAGGGCAGCAAGGCCACAGTATGAATAGCCACCATGGGCCTGCAACGTGAGGTCCGAACCCGTGGATAGCTGTGCGCGTTTTTATGCACACATCTATGTAAAGAACATAAGTCCATAATTGAAAAGAACGTCTAAATATATATGTGTGTGTGTGTGTGGGTGTCTGTGTGTATGTGTCTATACTATATTTAGTCTGATTGCATAGCTAATCAGCCCTTGGAAAGGGAAAAAAACGTGATGAATGATCATGTCTCGTCCGTGTAAAAAATATTGGCTGTGGATCAAAGTTGGGTAGCTCGAAAATGGGACAATTAATGAAAAATCACCAGTCCGTCAGTGGTCCCTAGACCTTCAATTTCGCTCAATCTCCCATATGGAACTATCATTATATCATATTATATCTCATGTTTGGTCCAATCCGCATTCCCGGAATGATGAAACATCATGAAACATATCCCCATCATCTTTCCGCATCCCCAAGTTTGGACCACAGGCCAACCCATGCTGCCAACCCAACAGGTCGACCTCAAGGCCCTCTTCTCCAGCTATGCCACCCTCCCAGGTTTGGCATCTGCTGATGTACTCAGGCACCCCTTCCAGCAACTCATCCGTTAAGATGTGCAGCATAGAGGCAGTGGCGATGGCACAGTAGCAGCCACGCATGTCCGTCTCTCCTGCGGACAGTAGCCCGAGATTGAAATGGCGATTGGTTGGAAAATCTACAGGAATTACCATGGTTTTTACCATGAAAACTGGAGCCCTGTAGATCTTCCCCTAAAAAAACATGGAAGGAGTGTAGTGAATGAGAATGATTCCCAGTGGGGCAATGGGATGCGGTTACCAACCCTTCACCCAGCGCTTCCCGGCCTTCATCATGCATCTTGAAGCCGCCCTGAGGGCTCTTCATGCGCATCAGGAAGCCATACATGGCAGCGCGGTCCACCACCTGCAGGTCTTGATAGGTCACTAAGTCTCGAGGCTCGATTTGATCCCATCACCCTCCTATAAAAAAGCCAACAGAGAAGCGTACCTAACATTGAATAGACCTTTAAAAGCTTTAAAGACATAAACCAAATCTTTATTCCCTTTAATAGTCCTTGGTCATATGAAATTTATTGTTGGCAAAATATTCTCATACCAACCCTCAACCGCTGAGACAAGTTTTACGAAACATCAACATCAATCCCACGGAAAATCGATGGAACCACACCTCCCCGAAAAATGATAAGACCACACCATGGACAATCACAACACATTCCTACAATTCCCAAAACAAATGGATGACAGCCAGGTTTCGGAGGAAAAAAAAGAAAAACTGCAAAAATTGAAGTAAAAATTAAATCATTGTCTCATAGGTTTCCCATCAAAAAATGTGGATGTTACATCTTTTAGGTGGATTTTCCGAGGAAAAAATACTAGTGTCTAGCTGATTTTCCATACCTGTTCTACCATTTTCCATCCCCATGTTTCATATATGTTCCCATCAAAAAAGCTTGGTGTTCCATTGATTTTCTATAATTCTTCCAGACTTGTCCCATCAAAGAATACCAGACTTTCACGTTTTTCTGGCAATCGTATGTTTGGGAAACTCAAACTCCTAGCTCCCAACTGCCGCCTCTTTTCCTATGGATACAACCACAGCCCCGTTCACCGATCTATTCACGTACCGGATGGGTGCGCATCCCAGTCAGCAAGTGATGTATAACGCATCCCAGTCAGCAAGTGATGCATAACCCATATATGCATATATGATCATATATGTATACTGGCGGCACCTTATAAGCCTCCTCGGTGCCCGCCACCATCAGCGCCGACACGGCCGCATAGGTCGGTGCTAGATGCGGAAGCTGCTGGGGGCCCCCTGCGAAGCCGCCGGAGGCGTCCTGGCAGTGCAACAGGAAGGAGGCCACCTGCGGCGAAGCAACAGACATCTGGGGATTTTCTTGGGGAATCCACTGTGATTTCCGATGAAAAAATACGTAAAGGTAAAATCCAACGTACTTTTCGGAAATCACAGGATCATCCAAGTTAAGTCATGCTAAGTCTGATTTGTTTGATGGGAAAATCATCTGCAAATGGAGATAAATCATGGTAAATCCATGCAAAATCCCTAGCTGTTTAATGGGAAAAGCAGTGGATAATCCATGCTAAATCCTTTCTTGGGGGAAATCAGCTGCAAATGGAGATAATTCATGGTAAATCCATGCAAAATCCCTAGCTGTTTAATGGGAAAAGCAGCGGATAATCCATGTAAATCCTTTTTTGCGGGGAAATCAGCTGCAAATGGAGATGAACAAACAATTACAGTCATAAGCTATGATTAATCTCGTTTCTGAACGAGAAAAGGCTGCAATTTCTCTCCATTGAATCCCCATTTTTTCACACAGGAAAACCTGTGATGTACATTCAGATCAGCAGGGGATAACCAGGGGTTAAATGCCAATTTTTTGAGATGGAAAGTTCATCTGTGTATTGCTCCGAGGATATAACTACCCAAGAATGGATAGGAAAATTGTTCACCATTGTTGACAAATCCCTGAAAGACGTATTTTACAGATCATGCATGTGGATGAAGATTATATGGACTAATACTTGCTACAAGGAGCGTCCCATTTGGGGATAGTCTAAGGGTGGATTTTTGTTCACCAACAAAATTGCAACTACTGTGGGAAGTTTATGAAGAGGACAAAAGAATGAAAGGCCAGTCATTCCAAAACGTTTGGTGGTTGGACAATCCGTCTCAAAACAACATTCACACACGATTCGAAGCATTATCCCAGAGTCAGGGACAGGAAACTGAAAAAATGTTGAAACCATCTAGGAGGCTTGGGATAGTGGCGTTTTGCACTGGATTTCGAGCATGATCCTCTATGACTTACGAAAATCCTCGTGAACCAAAGACGCATAGGTATACATATCAACATCTGCATAAATCTAGACCGGCATAATACATACATATATTACTAATGTAAGCGATCTATCTCTATATATATACATGTATGTGTGTGTGTGCATCTATATATATATATATATATATTGCCAGCCTATAATCTTACCATGTTATATGTATATATATATACATATATATAGTTTTACATGTATGTATTGTAATGTAATGTCATGTAATGTCATGTAATGTAGTGTAGTGCAATGTAATGTAATGTAATGTATGGATGTATCATATACCATGGTGTCTCCATGTTTTCTTCCACCTGCGGCGACCAGTGCTGCTCCTCAAAGTCGCCCAGCACCTCCATGGCGTGGGAGATCCAAAAGACGAACCACGGCCGCGAGGCATCGAGACCGCAGAAGTTGGGCGGCAACGAAACGAGGCCCTTCTTCAGCCAGGCCAAGTGGAGGTCGCGCTTCAAGACCATCTCCTCCTGGATGGATTCCTATGGATATAGATAGGTACCTGAAAATATGAGGGATTCACATGGATATTACCAGAAAATGGCCATGGATGAGAAACCCATAGATTTGGTTTATAAGCCTTTTTCCCGAATGCGTAGGCGAAGGGTTCTCTTTTTACTTTGGGCGTCTGGGGGTGGAGACGTGTTCGCTCGACGCTGCTTTGCCTTTCGCAACCGTCCACAAGCGTCCGCAAACCGTCCGCAACCATTTGCAGTGAGGGCGCTGTGGCCGTGCCTATAGCGACAACTGCAAAAGCGGTCACTTTTAGAAGTTTCAAACGTCGTGTAACCTCATTTCGTATGGCAGGCGTGGCACTTTGTGACATTCCAACATTATGTTTTCTTTCGTGTCGAAACCCCTTTTTTGATCTTTTTGTGTGACAGGCGCAAAGTGGTTTGCGTGACTGCATTCGGGTTCGTTGGTTGGTATTGGATTTTCAGACAAAGCCACATGAAGAGGTTCAGCCAACTGAAAAAATTAAATAGGTGAGCCCATGGCTGGATTTAAGGGCAGGCTTGGTTTACAAACTATCAACCAACCATCTTCTCCTGTCATTGGGACTCAACCTTTGAAAGGTAACCCCCGTAGATTCCTCCGATAAGGGTTGAGGTAATTTTGGCTAACAGTCAGATATATGATACATGTAGTGTGTGCGTTGATAAATACATACATATTGTATATATATATATGTGTGTGTGTGTGTATGCGTGTATGCGCAACATTAACATTGTATAACTGGCGATTGGAGATTCAAAAAGCCCTTCAGAAATTAATTTTGACCTACCTTCAGATGTAACAAAAAACTGAGATCCGATGGGGTCCTGCGAGCCGCTGAGCCACACATGCTTGAAGAAGGCTAAGACGTTGTCCTGTCAAGAAAAAAACAACATGACCAAATCCAGACACGGAGGGATTTGTCCCCCGCCAACGTGACCCTTTCAATGGAAAATCTATAGAATCCTGGGAAAAAAATATGTTGAAATTCCATTGAATTTTCCATATGTTCAATCAATATTGTCAATTGGAAAATGTTCAATGGAAAATATGGAAAAGTCGTCTCCATTTTTTCCCCCATTTCTTCACCCTCTCAACGCCCAAAAGGCGAGATCCTCACAGGTTTGTTGATCCTCTGAGGTCAGCGTTGCAGGTCCATTCAGCACCGCCATGGCAGATGCGACTGCGAAACAAAGTCAGATCTTTTGATATGGCTGATATGACCATGAAAATATGCACACCCATATGTATATATATACACACACTATACTATGTTATACTATTATGTATATATATATACATGCACATACAGTGGACATGTCACACAAAAATGTCTTGTGCTTGTTCTTGGCATGGCAGCACATGACTTCTACTGAGACGGCGTTCATGTCGTTCATGTCGTTCATGTCGTTCATGTCGTTCATGTCGTTCATGTCGTTCATGTCGTTCATGGTGACCTGATCAACTGTGGCAGTAGCTCAGTAAAAGGGGTGCCTATTTTTAAAAAGAAATCGGGGCTACCACATTGCCATTGGGGTGTTCGAATAATCTTATATAATGGTTCTGACCTGGGGGTACCCCAATAGCTGGATGCTTTATAGTGGAAAATCCTATTCAAACGCATGATTTGGGGGTACCCCTATTTTAGGAAACCTCCATATCATCCCCCAGCCAGCCTAGGCAGTTACAGCCTGTCTGGAATCAAAATACGCCAAACCACTGACTGGAGCACAGAGCTTGACCGCAGCCACACGCCTTTTGGGCTGAAAATTGCGTGGTGCTGAGCCAGGGACAGGGACAGGCAAAGTGGAAGCCATACCCCCAGTGGAGTTGCCTCAACAGTTCAACCGCTACCGCTTCTGCCCCTTGGTCCGGCAAAGAACTGGAATTTGTGGTCCTTTCAAGGGTTCACCATGTTGATAGTGCAGAATTGGATAATTTTTCATATTCAATTCCACCCACGCGTCCAAGAGGCTCATAGCCTTGCAGAGAGCAAACTCTCTGGAAATTACAGCTGAGTCGCAGGATCGTCGTGTGCAAGACGCAAATCCAAGATCTTTGGACAAACAGAGCTCAAACAACAAAATTCTACCATCAAGCTTTGCACTGGCAATCTCACATAAGGGAAGGTCCCCATTGCTGTCCATCTATTCGGATGATTTTCCCATTAAAAATTGAAAATGATCATTGCCAGGTTTGATTGCGCCCCAATGTCTATCATTTGGATCCACTTAGTAGCGATCTTGCGCCCATGCCTCACTGGCAACAGCTTCCCTTCCTCACTCATGTAAATAATATATGGATAGTAGATTGCTAATCGTTATTGCTGGATATGGCACGAAATATTATGGGAAGTATCCATGCAAACTACATCATCCTGGGGTTGCGTAAGGCACAAAAAAATGCAAAACATTCCCCCTAGGTTCCCAAAGTGGTGGATTTCCCACTGGGAAACAATCAAAAGTCACGTTAAGCAAACCATGGTTATCCCGTATGAGAAGGCCACAAGGGAGTCACCCAATGGATTTGCCATGCTTTTCATCATCGAGGCTAGCACCGCTCGCCGGTGGTTTCAGCGCTGAATTTCTCTTGGAGAAGCGCCACAGTGTTGGAGTTGGGCTCCGGCGGGTTGTGGGATGTTGTGATCCATCGTGTCTTGCGGGATGATTGACGGAAGCCTTATGTTTGGCGACCCTAAGAAACCAAACCCTAGAAACCCTAAGACAAACATTTAAAAAAAAAAAAAACTTAATGAACCTAATGAAGACCTAAATGAACCCCAAAGAAACCCTAAGTGAACCCTGAAGAAACCCCAAATGTAACTCTAGACTCTAGATAAAATTGTATGTTATATCCCACTATTTCGATCTATCTTTCTATCTTTCACTACCGTATCTTTCTATCATCCACCCATCCACCCATCCATCCATCCATCCATCCATCCATCTCTCTCCCCCTCTCTCAGTGCCGAGAACTTATGGGGATATACACTGAACATCACTGAACCATCTACCAATTCTATGAGTTTTCGCCTTACTATTGTATATCCTCAGGTGTTTCGGGACTCCATCCACGGGCCAGCCTTAGGGGTCGTGCCTTTGTTGAAAACTTCATCCTTTGATTCAGCGGCCAATCGGAAGAAACAAAAAATCTGGGACACTTCGGTAGTCAAACATTGCTGGGAAATCCTCTCAAAATGGAGCTTTGAATAGGAAAATCATGGAAAATCAGCCATAAATGTTGGCATTATACAAGCATACTGACTGGTGAGCCCACAAGAGAGGAAGAAAAAACCATGGATTCATGACATTGGGCCCTTGATTTGCGTCCCTTTTCCATCTATGGATCAGTTCAAGTGCTCTGGTCACGGTGCTCCCAGACTGGAGCACGTCCGGAGCCCATTGAAACACAGTAAGGGGAAGGTTTGCACATGGGCTTACGCCATGCATCTCGGACAGAAGCTTACAAAACACGGCGGAGTTTTTGCGCAACTTCGGCTTTTTGCCGCACATGGCACGATCTATTCAGCTTCCAGACCCCCCCATGGTAGACGGGTTATCTCGCAGTGCAGCATGGAAGCACAAAAACATTGCTCTTTAGAAATGGTTTGACTCGTGAAAGCATTCAAGTAGAGTAGGTCTCATGATTCCCAGGTCCATCACAGCATGCTTTCAGTCATCCCACTTAGCAACTGGTGACTAGCCCTGGCCATGAGCTGCCTAGCTCCCTCTCTCTCTCCAATTTATAAGTGGGTTGATGACCTTGTTCCCATTGGTTTTTCAGGTTCACCAACGGTGGGCCCTGGCCGCACCGGCCAAACATGCCCAGCACAACTTACAGGTGAAGCTGCCATCGCCTCGTCCTGACACGAGCCTGTGGAGAGACCAGCATTGGGTGTGTCTGAAAAAATCATGCGCCCTCGGAACTGTGGTTTGTTCCATGATTCATGATGATCACACCCTGTGATGATGATGATGATGATGGTGATGATAAAGAAAAAAGAAAAATGAAAAAATGAAAAAAAAAATGAAAATGATTATGGTTTTCGGACAAACCTACTGGTGACCCACTGGTGGAAATCTAGAATTGTCCCTAGTCAAGAGGTAGGTTTTTTTCTGCAGTGGTGAAAATCCCCTCTCAATAGCAATACGAGCACCCAAAATTTTTGAAGAAACCTCTTTTCAGGATGGCTGGCCTCCACATGTTTTGCAGGGTATCAGACCAAAACATGTAGAAAAGTAAAGTTGATGTTAATCATCATCAGTATGTGAAGTTATCAAATGTTCTATCTTTTCAGTGGGCCCTCTTAGACTTTCCAGGATTTTGATGCCATGGTGCCATACTAATCACAACATTGGGGGTGGCATCCCCCTTCCGGCCGCCTCAGATTGGCGGAACGTGCACCTTTCCTCGGGAATTCCCATCACCTGACGCCGGTCCACAGGATCCACAGGTGAAATCTCAGTGGAAAACATGGAAAAACCATGAAAAACCTAACCCATACCATGGTCCTGGTGGATTTCGCTACCACGCTCCACCGGCACCCATTTTTGGAGAATTTGGATCACCCATCTGTGCTTCTGACGACTTGGGATTCCATCAAGGTGTTGGTTCTTTTGCTACCCATTGATCTTTTCGGGGCAACTGGGCTCCCCTATGCTCACATCAAGGATGTCGTGCTCAACTGGCTCCAAAAAAACAATGTCTATGGCCAGTCGAGATGCCTACTCTAAGCACCACGAAGGCAAGCACATCCACGGGCAAAGAGAGCAACAGAAGCTGCTCAGTCAAATTGGCCTCGCTGAAACATCTGGACTACAGGCTTGCTGCAAACAGACAATGAAAAACAAGAACGGAGACGCGTGAGCATCATCATCATCATCATCATCATCATCATCATCATCATCATTGTCATCATCATCATCATTGTCATCATGGTGATCATCATCATCATCATCACCACCATGATCATCATCAGCATCAGCATCATCAGCATCATCATCAGCATCAGCATCATCAGCATCATCATCCTCGTCATCCTCGTCATCGTCGTCGTCGTCGTCATCATCATCATCATCGTCGTCGTCGTCGTCATCAGCAGCAGCAGCAGCAGCAGGCAGCAAGCAGCAGGGAGCAAACAGCAAGCAGCAGCAAGCAGCAAGCAGCAAGCAGCAAGCAGCAAGCAGGAAGCAGCAGCAGCAGCAAGCAGCAAACAGCAAGCAGCAGGCAGCAAGAAGCAGGCGGCAGCAGCAGCATCATCATCATCATCACCATCACCATCATCATCATCATCAGTCATCAGTCATCAGTCCTCACCATCATCACCATCATCATCATCATCATCAAAGATTATCATATATTATCAAAAATCATCATAATCATGATAATCAAAATCAATAATCATCATCAGCAGCATCATCATCAGCAGCAGCATCATCAGCAGCATCATCAGCAGCATCATCAACAGCATCATCATCAGCATCATCATCATCATCATCATCATCGTCATCGTCATCGTCATTGTCATCGTCAACATCCTTGTCATCATCAGCATCATCAGCATCATCATCATCATCATCAACGAACAGCGATCATCATCGATCATCGTCAATCATCATCAATCATCATTGTCGTCGTCATCGGCGTCGTCATCGGCGCCGTCATCATCATCATCATCATCATCATCATCATCATCATCACCACATGGTGTGATCATCATCATTATCACCATCATCATCATCATCATCACCATCATCATCACCACCACCACCATCATCAACATCGTCATCGTCATCATCATCATCAGCATCATCCATCATCATGATCACAATCATCATCATCATCACCATCATCATCATCGTCATCATCATCATCATCATCGTCCTCGTCCTCGTCCTCGTCATCCTCGTCATTCTCGTCATCGTCATTGTCATCGTCATGAATGGAATGCAACTCATTGCAACTTTCTCCATCAATTTCGCATTTTGCCCGGATAGTATCCCCATTTTTCTCCGTGGATGCCGAGGTGTCATTGCGGCGCCTCAACCTCACTGACGTTGGCGTTGGCTGCCGTGATCCGATCATCGATGTCCGTCACATTGAGTCGCTCATCCACCTGACGCTTTTTTTTGGGCGTGGTAAAATGGGGACGTTTATGATCAAATTGAACGTGTATATATATATATACACATCATTAATATAATTTAAACAGCCAAACTCGTCAAAGAGTACTTAGGTTTCTGATTTGGGAGTCTGATTTGAAACCAACAAGACCCCTGGAGATCCAGGCTGTGTTTGACACCAATGCGGATATGACCAACATCCGAAACTACAAGAGCTCCCCTCTCTTCCCCACTCGCCGTTTCAAGGTTTGCTTCCTAAGAGTGCACTTGCCAGGGTTTGTCTCCAGAAATGTCAATAAGAAGTAAAAATCCAGAATGGGTTGGTTGGTTTCCCTTTGTTTCGGCACATTGGGGGCGCAGTCCCACTTCATAAGCCAAAATTTTGGCCACGATTAAAATCACCACCTCTCTAGCCATAACCCCCAACTCAAGCGGCGACATCCGGACACCTCAAAGAAAAAGAACGTTGTCCAAAAAGATTTGCCCAGGCGTGAGGACTGAGTGAAAAGCAACTGGTCAGTTGCACCTGTCAGCAAGCGAACGGTCTCCTGGTGGCGCTTCAAGAAAGGTCAAGGCTTTGACACCCAGAAGTCATTAAGGATGAATGGGTAGATCCAACCGTAAAAATCTCGGATTTAAAGGGCATCACGGGATCTAATGGGAATATCAATGGATTGCCCTATGGGAAATATATCGAAACATCACGGGAAACCATTGTTTTCTTCTCACCCCCCATATATACCAGCGTCCGATACATTTCCTCGTGGGCTGCTTGGATCTGCGGTAGCAGCGGATCCACAATGGTGGCGTCATTGGTTGCCATTTTGCTGAAGAGGGTCGCATGCTGATAAGGAGTAAGTCCTCCGGGGCAACCGGGGGGCGAAAGTTCGTCTCAAGGCTTTCACCGTGAAGAACGTGGATAACTTGTAAAGCCATCGGCGGCCAAAGATCAGCATATCCCAAAAAATCCTGGACACCCGGCCCTTCATTCGACCATCCAAGGTCAATATTCATGCTCCGATTTTCAGCATCCGCATTTTATTGTAGCAGCCCTAATCCACTGATTCAGGTTCATATTTTTCCACCAATGCAACCATTTTGAGGGGATCATTATCCCATGTTCAGACCGTGCGAGAATCTCGTCATGTGGTCCTGGACAATAGTGCCGACCATTTAAGGTCAGGCAGAAGCGGTCGCCCAAACGGTCACATGAAATGCCAAAGGGCAAGGGGCAGCTCGAGCTCTCAACAGCCCGGCCACACTGGCAGGTCGTTGGGCAGAAGGCCTCCACGGTTTTAAACCTGGGGCGTTCCGATCACGCATCGTCACTGCGCACATTTAAACTCATTTGCATGGGAGGGGGAGACATAGATGGATATATGCATAATATGAGTATAATATGTGTATATGTTTTCCCAACAGCAATTAATGACTGATGGGTTTCAATCTCTGAGTTTGTGGGTCCTGTAGGTGGTGCGCCGCTTTTTGCCAGCCGTGAAGACCGGAACGGAACCCTGGAACCCTGGAACCCTGGAACCCTGAACCTGCCGTTGGGTTGCAATGCTGGCTTAACTTGTTTCGGGAAACCCCCACTTTCGGGGCTTATGATCACTGGAGTTATCAACCCGTTGCCCACCAGGATGGTGCTCCAATTTTGTTGAGCCCAGCCACTCCCATTCAAAGGAACTGTTCCACTGGAAACAGTCCCCCCAAAAAACGCCCTCGGCACTCAAGTTGGCTTGAAAGCCACAGCCATGGTCCCACATGGCATCTGCGATTTTCACCGCTTCGCTCTTGAGTGGAAAAGCCACTGTGGACTTTCCTGGTAAGGCATTCAGAACACAGTGAACATGGAATCATCCCCTGACCGACTCACCATCTCCCCCAAACAATACACAACAAAGAAAAAGGGGTGCCAAACATCCACAATCCAGGCATCCGTAGGCTCGGATGGCATCGACCCAGCTGGCCCAATCTGTGGAGTTTCTCAGCTCTTCAGGGCTCCCCTCAACGCAGACCAGCTCCTCAGATGGACCAAACAGCTGGCAGTTGTTGGACTGTTGAACTCAACGGCTGGCACCCCAAGATTGAAAACCCCCCATTGAAACCTGTTTTAAACCTGTGTCTGTTCACTTTGGGACACTTGATTGGTGGTATTTTATATTATTGGGTGGCAAGACTTGATGCGTGATTATGTCGCGTGCTCCAACCTGGAACAGAATCAGCAAAGGGCATAAATTGTCACATCCTGGCTCCAAAGCAATCAAAGCCGAATCAAAGCTGCGCATTTTGGAAGTTACAAGCTGCAGGGAAATGGTTTTTATTAAAGAATCGAGACCTACAACTACAACTTATATAGCTGAGGACGCATGGAAACGACTCCATATAATGGGGTTTTCTTCAAATTCTGGATCCCCAAAACCATTCGTTTCAATAAAATACAAACAGTGTGTCCACACCGAGGAATTTTTACGGTAGGAGCAAAAGGCCGGGGTAGTTTGGAACGTCGTTTTGCGAGGACATCGGACACTTTTTCATCCGCGTCGCAGGCGTGGTACTTTTGGCACGCAGCTAAAACCCTGGCATTCGTGGGTCGAAATGAGAGGTGGTTTCGGCGGCCATTTTTCGTGGCAGGCGCAGTAATTGATGAACTTGGACGATGTTGTCAAAGGGTCGAAAGTCTCGTTTTGTCACTTTTTGATTTGGGACATGATGATTTCGCGTCGCACGTGCTCATGTTTCATGGCAGGCACGGTGCATTGTAGACCTCAATAAGAAGGTGGTCTACGCCTAGTAAAACATCGTTTTTCAGATTCTCAATGCTCATTTTTCGTGGTGCACACAGTGCGTTAAGTGAATTTTTACGATGCGATCGCGCAACCCTCTCGTCACTTTGTCTGTGCGTGTCAGATCGCTCTGGTTGTGGCGCGGCGCAAATTTTGATACTGCTCGTGCAACCCTCTCGGCACTTTGCGCGTGTCAAATTTTGATATCATTGGCGCAACCCTCTCGGCTGTGTCAGATCGCTCTCCCTGGCACGATGTGAATTTTGATGTGGTTTGCGCAACGTTCTCGGCACCTTGCGCGTGCCAGATACCTCTCCCTGTGGCGCAGTGCTCATTTTAGCTGCTTTTCAAAGATCCTGGCAAAGAGAAATCCTCGTTAAGGACCTTGCATGATCTTGTACAGGTCCTTGAGAAGATCTTGTGAATATCCTGGCGTTCTTCTACCAAGGTCTTGTAGGATCTTGTAGGATCTTCTCATCACGTCCTTCTTTGAAGTTTCTTAGGTGTCTTCGTATGAAGCGCGTGATGAATCAAGATCTTGAAGAGGTCCTTGTGATAAGATCTTGTGGGGATCCTGGTGAAATACTTCAAGAAGTCCGTGCATGAAGATCGTGCAGATGCCATGTGTAAGAGGTCCTTGCAATGAAGAGCTGGCAAATGCCCTGTCTTAGATGTGTTTGTTAGATTTTCTTCTGGAGATCCTGGTGGGGTCCTCTCGAAGAGGTCCTTGCATGAAGACCTTGCTTGATAATGCTCTGTATCAGAAGTGCTTATCTGAAAGTTCTTCTGGTATGCTCTTTAAAAAACTTGCATGAAGATCTATGTAGAAAGTCCTTCTTTGACGATCTTGTGAAATTCTCTTAGCTGTCTTGGTTTGAGGTCCTGGTATGAGGTCCTGGTATGAGGCCAGGGGTAAGGGACGAAAGCTAGCTGTACGGGGAGCTTGGCATGAAAACGCACCGATGCTGAGGATGCGGATGCTGCCGAATTTGCTGACAGTGGCGACATGCCAACGGTGTCCCCGGAAAGGGTTGAGTCACGGCCAAGCTGCTTGTGAACCAGCCAAGGAAGGAGGAGGAAGAGGGGGGGTACTTAACTATAAGTTTCATGCGATTGGAGATTCCAGCCCCCCAATACCTCGCTAAAGCTAGCTTTCATGATTTCCTGATGCTGCAGCTCCGATAATGTCAAAACTGATCTACCCTCCACACTGTTTAGGGTCTCTTGCCGGTGTAAGGACCTAATTTTGGATGATTTGGGGGTCCCCCCCAGTTTAGGAAACCTCCAACGCTTGCCAGTTCTGGGCCCTGTGTCCGCCCGCAACTGATCGAACTGCGAGGACTGTTTACCTGAGCATCCGAAAAGCGGGCACTTTGACTTGCCAAGAATCTTACCCAAGGTATGGTGCATTTGCAATTTAAAAAGCCAGATAGATGGGTGGATGGACTGAGAACTAGATAGATAAGATTGGATGAGATAAGATGAGATTGGATCGGATCAAATGGAATTAGACTAGATTAGATCAGAATGGATATTATGTGTTTATATATATATATCCGATTAGGTTAGATTTGGAATAGATCAGATTAGATTAGATCATGTTAGGTTTGGTTATACCAGATTAGATCCGATATGATATGATTCGATGACAGACAAACAGACAGACAGACGGATGGACGGACAGACAGCCAGCCAACCAGCCAGCCCGCTAGCTACATACATAGACTCAAAAAAATAGAAAAATAGAAAACTAGATAGATAGGTAGATAGATAGCTAGATAGCTAAATAGAAAGCTAGCTATATAGCTAGAGAGCTAGATAGCTAGATAGTGAGATAATTAGATAGCTAGTTAGCTAGATAGATAGATGGATGGATAGATAGATAGATAGATAGACAGAGAGACGGGCACAGACACAGACACATACACAGAAAGAGACGGACAGAGACCGACAGAGACCGGCAGATACAGACGGAGACAGACCGAGACCGACAGAGACCGACGGAGACAGACAGACACGGACAGACACAGACACAGACAGACACAGACAGACACATACAGACACAGACAGACACAGACAGGCAGGGATAGGTTGGATAGATTAGATAAATTAGATAGATTAGATAGATTAGATAGATTAGATAGATGAGATAGATTTGACGGGTTAGATAGATTAGGTAGATTACATAGATAAGTTAGATAGATAAGTCAGATACACCAGTCAGATAGATAAGTAAGATACATAAACAAGATAGATATGCAAGTAAAATACATAATTAAGATAAGTCAGATGGAAAATAGACAAGCAAGCTAGGTAGTAGATGAATGGATGGATGGATGGATGGATAGACAGGCAAACAAATTGATTAGATTCAAATGAATGTGACTCGGTACCGTCTAGATTACACAAAATGTTTTACCAAATGTCCAGACACATAGGATTGCACATGTATATGTATATGTTTATGTATATGCATATGTAAATGCATATGTATATGTATGTGCATATGTATATGTATCTGTAGTCATCCTGGAGTAGATAGAATGAGGATGCTTCAAAAAGTCCTCACTCAATTTTTAACATCTTCGAAAAATCCATCATTTCTTTTTACTACAGGATGATGATGATGATGATGATGATATATATGTATATATAGATATGTGTGTGTGCCCTCCGGCCCTCTGGTAATTGAACACAGCTATGGAAAATGACTGACAATTTCCAATTGAAAGATGATTAAGAATTTGAAAAAATGGCGATGTTACGGTGCCCCAAAAAAAAAAAGAAACATAATTAGTTATACTGTACAGTTGCATTGGTGTTTCTTTAAAATGGCGACTCTCCCCCAAAACCAGTGGGTGTCAATACTAAGCCATGGTCGAATGACGATGATCACTGGTGCACCACTTCCAACCACGGCCAAGGTACACGGCCGTCCTTGACCGTAGGGGCATCCCTGAACGTTGATGGCCCCCACAGGATCTCGACAGCCGCAGCTGGCTGAGCAGAACATGCGCGTAAACCAACCTGCAAAAGTGGCATCTCCTGATGGTTTCTTAATGAGATCTTCATGGCATCCAACTATGACCTACTGGGATTTTAACGGACATTCTACTGGGTATGTAAATGGGCTTAAACAAGAAATCATGGGTATTTAATGGGATGTAGAAGGATTTAGCAGGATTTAGGCAACGAATAATGGGATTGAACAAGATTTGGCCAAGGAATATATCGTGGGTTTGTTTGGTCAAAGCATTGATGGACAAATGACATTTGATATAACATGATATAACTGCAGGTATTAGCAAATTTAACTAATTCCATTTTCGAGGATGCTGATGGGATATTGTGAAAATTGGAGGTTTACTACCCCCTTGAATAACAACTTTAATGGGAAAGTGACAATTAACCACTGGATTTAAGGCCCCCCCAGCCACATACAGAAGCAAAATGTGAACTTCGGACATCTTTCGTGTCGTCGCAAAAAGGTGAACCATGAAAAAGAGCCCTAGCCCATCCCATCAAAAAATGGTAGGCTAATAGAGGGTGAGGCTCCCCAGTCGAAGTTATGTCCGTCAATTTAGCTATCTAAGGAGCCTCCCCTTGTAGGCATCCACCTAATCATGGGTCATCATGATCCCCGAAAAATTTGGGACAGTTTCATATGGAATATCATTAGTGAGGAGGTTCCCAAATGATTTACGGTAATGATTTTAACGTTCCCAAATAATCTTTGGTTATTGCTTTAACGCCCCCCCAAAAAAAAATAACTATCAATGGGTCTATCAACCATCACTGATGGAACATGTAACATATCCCCATCTTCTCATGGCTAAGAGCGGGAGAGGAAAAAAAAATCACGATGGCTCAATGGCCATGAATGTGGGAAATCCAATGCCATAAACCTGTATATATAATTTACCCTCAGGTAAACTAACACAACTATAGAGAATCATCATTTGTAGTGGGTAAATCAACTATAAATGGCAACTTTCAATAGCTATGTTGGGGCTTTTTCGCAGCCATCGGTGATGTCTGGTCGGTCCGATGCCGAGCAGCCCCTGCCATTGTCCAAGCCGAAGTCGGGCATCCGGGTAACGGAGCTGCAAAATGGCAACACGTCTTGGCATCCTGGCAGGCGAGCCGAGCATGGAACTTAGATACAGGATGGGGCCCCATAGTTTGCTAAGTTTGTTTGTAACTTATTGTGTATGATACTTACCAGTCGTACCGCACAAGGCGGTGGCGGAAGCTTCAAAAATACGAAACTTATAGGAGAGGTTGGTTGTTGTGAATCATGGATGGCAAAAAATACGAATCCACTGATGGACCGAAAGGTGGTTGGAGTTGTGCTTTTGGATGGCTGCAATGGTTGCAGTGGTTACCTCACCACAACTGCTGGATGTAGTGTGGTGTAAGGCAGTTGTAGTTGTAGCTGTAGTTGTAGCGTAGCGTGGTGGAGCTGTACCTGTATGTCTTGTAATTAATGTAGCGCATTTGCAGTTGTAGTTGTGGTGCGGTGTAATTAGTGTAGCGTAGTGTAATGTAATTAGTGTAGTGTAGTGTTGTATAATGTAGTGTAGTTGTAGTTGCAGATGTAGTTGTAGCGTGCTACAGTGTAATTAGTGCATATACATGTATATAGTGTAGTGTAATGTAGTGTGTAGTTAGTTGTCGTTGTAGTTGCAGATGTGTTGGTGGTGGTGGTGGTGGTGGTAGTGGTGGTCGTCGTCGTCGTCGTCGTGGTGGTCGTCGTGGTGGTCGTCGTGGTGGTCGTCGTGGTGGTGGTCGTCGTGGTCGTGGTCGTGGTCGTGGTCGTGGTCGTGGTCGTGGTCGTGGGTCGTGGTCGTCGTCGTGGTCGTCGTGGTCGTGGTCGTCGTGGTCGTGGTCGTGGTCGTGGTCGTGGTGGTGGTCGTGGTCGTGGTGGTCGTGGTCGTGGTGGTGGTGGTGGTCGTGGTCGTGGTGGTGGTCGTCCTCGTCCTCGTCCTCGTCCTCGTCCTAGTCATAGTCATAGTCATAGTCATAGTCATAGTCGTCGTCATAGTCGTCGTCATAGTCGTCATAGAAGTTTCTGTTGTTGATGATGATGATGATGGTGGTGATGATGATGATGATGATGATGTGTAATTAGCGTAGTGTAGTGTAGCGTAGCGTAGTGTAGTGTAGTGTAGTGTAACTAGTGCAATATGATGTAGCGTAGTATTTCTGTATTTGTACTATTATATAGTAGTAGTAGTAGTAGTACTAGTACTAGTACTAGTAGTAGTAGTAGTAGTAGTAGTAGCAGTAGCAGTAGTAGTAGTAGTAGTAACAATAGTAGTAGTAGTGTAGCGCAATGTAGTGGTAGTTGTAGTTGTAATTGTAGCTGTCTATCTATCTATCTATCTATCTATCTGTCTATCTGCAAGCTGGAAACAACGAAGCGATTCTGCGCGACTTCCTGTTTTCAAGTTGACGACATCAAAAACGATGCAAGTGTGCGAGACTTCCTTTAAAAATGGAAAGTTGAGTGCAGAGCTCATGGTCTCGTACCAATGCGCCTTGCGATGTTTCCATTCCATGTGTCTAAAGTACTGCACCTGCCACGAAAAAGTGACCCCAGGTCATACGAAGTGCTGCACCTGTCACGCAAAATCACCTTAACATTCCTGAAGATCCAATGCTCCAAAATGCAACCCCTCTCCGGAAATCAGTGCCCTGACCTCCTATCATCTCTGGTGAACATGTCTCTTGCATCGCGCATGCCACGCAAAATGCATCTTTGCAGATCCTCTTCAAATGTCCCACGCCTGCCATCGTTTTTTTGGAAATGCTAAAAAAAACCCTCACGACATCTGAACGTCCAAAAGTGGTCCGAACATGTGGTGCTTTTAACATGTTGACTTGGAAATGTGCTTCACGCCACAATGGCGTACACGCTTTCAACATCTCAACTTCCAAAAGTGCTTGGAAATGCGTTTGGCGCCACAGCGGCGTGCACCTTTTCATCATCTCAACTTCCAAAAGTCGTCCGAGAACAGTGCGTTTTGCACGTTTTGACTTGGAAATGTGCTTCGCGCCACAACCGCGTGCACTTTTTCGACATCGCAACTTCCAAAAGTGCTCCGAACGTGAGGTGTTTTGTGCATTTTGACTTCGGTAGGTGCTTCGCGCCACAACGGCGCGAACTTTTTCGACACCGCAACTTCAAAAAGTGCTTCAAGCATGGTGTGCTTTGTGCATTTTGACTTCGAAATGCGCTTCGCGGCATTTCGGCGTGCAATTTTTCATCTCTCATGTGGCTAAATGGCTCCGCACCCGCCGCTTTAGCGAGCCTACTTTTCGACCCTCCGGAGCCACAAATCATTGGAAAAACACACTGATCTTGTCTCTTCTTCTCTTCTCCTCTCTGACTCTTCCCACCTCTGCTTTTCCATCTGTCCAGATTGTCGGAAGTTTGACTTCTAAACTTCCTTCGATAAATATGTTTATATAGATGGAGTTATAACCAACTTATAACCAGGGGGCCCCACCCTGTGGGGTTGTAAACATTAATAATGAAAGCGTCCTAAGTCATGGGGGTGCCCCCAGTTATCATGCAAGTCATGGATGACCACTTTAGTATTGAAACCTATGGTTTGGTGATCTCCCATTTTAAGAAACATCCATGTAGCTGAAGAACTATAACTAACTATGACTACCTATCAGATTCTCACTGACTAGAAGTAACTATAAAATTATAACGAACTACAACTACAACTAACATCAACTAACTATAACTGACTCTAACTATAACTATAAAATACTCTAAATGCAACTATAATTATAACTAGAACTATAACCAACTATATATGATTGACTAAAACTAAGTACAACCAACTATTACCAACTATTCCACATACTGCATATGCCCAGAATGAACTGGGCTACCACACCGCCGTCACCTGTCCTTGGATGCTCTGGTTCTGGTGGACAAATCTCAGTTGTTCCAAGGCAACGCGACCTTGCGGTCCATCGATTAAGTCTCCACAGTCGGCGTTGTTGGCATCCAAGATTTCCTCCGAGTTCAGGAGCGTGGCGGCACTCAGGCTATCCACGTCCTGGGCATGGCGCTCTTGTTGAACGGGACGCAGATGGCTACATGGGGATGTTTGGCTTACAGTGCATGTGATTTGCAAAGGAAATCATAGAGCCCATGGTCCATTATGGCCCCACGGCAGCAGGCACTCCAAGTTGGCCATCGGAGAACTCAGCCAGTGGCTTGTGGGAAGTGGTAGTGACCTGATAGTGGTGAACTAGCAATTTTGCTGGCCATGTCATGCCATGTCAACCAAGATTTTGCCCAGTATGGAAAGCCCTGAGGTCGACATGGCCCTTGTTGACTGTCGTGCCCTGCGGCAGCTGGGCATCGCTCTGCACGCTTGGGACGAGGACATTTCGGGTTCAGAGCTGAGGTGCGGAAAGGCGGGGTGAAGCTTAGCAGTTTTATTTTTGGCTGCTGTTGTTGTTGTTGTTGTTGTTGCTGGTGGTGTTCTTGGTGTTCTTGGTGTTCTTATGTGTTCTTATGTGTTCTTGGTGTTCTTGCTGTTATGTGTTCTTGAGTGTTCCCGTTGTTCTTGTTCTTTTTTTTGTTCTTGTTGTTCTTGTTGCGGCTTTTGATTACTTGCAATCAAACTCGATGTTCTCTCGATCCTTTGTGATGATGTAGTCGTGGTATAGTCGTAGTAGTCGTCGAAGGCAAATTCATCCCAAGTTCTGGGTCTAATGTTCACAAGTTGGCTATTCAGGCTATTCACTGAAAAAGCAAAACACAGTCTTTCTAATTTTTGCAGCCTTTCACGGCCATATGGCCTTGCATCAACTCGGTTGGGTGCTTCCACCGGTGAGCATGCGCGGCACAACGCAGGCTGCACTACCAGCACTCCGGGGTGGTGCACTTAACTGCGGTCGAGAAAAACAAGCTGGGGTGTTTGGGAACCTGGTTAGGAGGTCGAAGAAACAGGAAAATGGGGAAACATGCAAAGGGGTCAAGAAAAAACAGGGGGTCAAAAAACCCGGTACGGGGGTCAGAAAAACAAGGAGGGTCAAAAAAACAGAGGACCCCGAGGTCAAACAGCCCCTGGTGATGCTGGGGTGATGTGGAACTCATCGTCAACCGCGTCAACCGGAGGTCAAGGGCACTTCCACTCCAGTCCAAGACATCTGCGTATAGACATCCTTTCTGGCTGGTGGGTTTCAACTCCCTGAAAAACGTTTTTGAGTCAATGAGGATCATCATCCCATCCTCCCACATAAACGGACCGAAAATACCGGTAAAGTTCAAACCACCAACCAGCTTTAGCCCCAATGGCCCATGTGATTTCCAAGTATCTTGAAGCCACACACCATACTTGCTGTCGTTCTGACTGATGCCAAAGCCCACCTCTTCTGCTTCTTGCACGGCCAAATTCCTAAGGCCAGGCCAGCTAAGGCCCCGGGGAAAAAAAAACCTGGACTTCCAGGTGTGGCAGGTGCCAATCATTGTGGATCGATCTATCAATCTTGGTCTTTCTATCTTTCTATCCATATGACCTACACACACCCCCTCTAAAGGACACTGGAAACCTCACAAGACTCTCCAAGGCTCTTGATTCCCGCGTCGTCTTCCCAACCACCACCTACGGTCTGGGACAAAAGCACCACTCCACGCCGGTCCAAATCCCACACGAAGGCTTTGTTGCCACCACCTGCCCCGCAAGCACCCGGAAAAAACAATTTACACTTGTCAAACCAAGATTTTGGCAAAGAGGGAAAAGTCTGTGTCAGATTTGCTAAGGAGGAATAGGTTCAGGCAGGTGGTGGAACCCCAAATAGAATGCGAGAAGTTGTTCATAGTTATTCTCTCTTTCGCCCGGCGGTCCTACACCTTATTGCAGCTCCCCTGGATGATAGACTACACTCTTAGACTGTTGGCCAAGCTCTAGGGTTTCAACTCATACCCACATCAGACCGAAACAAAAATATGCAATCCAACCTATATCAAACACTCTGTATATATATGATATATATATATATATGTGTGTGTGTATATATGTGTGTGTGTGTGCGTGTGATATACCGACCTCTAATTGAAGTCGTGGCCCCAAAATGAATAATCCCACATTAAACACCCGCCAGAAACCATGGCTAAGGGATTTACACATCTTTGGGACCATACCAATGGGATTAGATCCAATACCGGGGAAGGGAAGGGGATATTGAAGCTGAATCCAGGTCACACATGGCGGAGCTGACGTCATGCAGAGTGTCTACCATCGGAGCCAGCATGAAGAAGTACACCAAGAGGGTCAGGGTTGGGATGGCGATCGTCATGAATGCCTCGGAGTCAGCCCATGGACCAATGGATGGATGATCGGAAAAACTGGAGCCAGAAACCAAGGGTTGTTCATGCATTTTTTCCAACGAACTGTATGGGGAGTGGTCCTGCAAATTCTGTTCTTCAACCAGTTCTGAGATGGTTGGCATTACTTGAGGCCCAAGGGGGGGGGTGAACGAAAGCTAAGGTTCACATGAGCCTGGAAACATGATGGGATTTTGAGGGGATTTGGACATGCTGAATACAGATTGCCTAGAGACCTGGCAGGATTTGAGCCCGTGACCATCTGCTTCCAACACCGCCCCAAAATGCCCGGGGAGCTTGGGGGGGGTTCGAGTGAAAAATCACTGCCCCTCCCCGTCCCCTTTCTGAAGCAAGAGTAAATCCAGCTAGGTACCGCTAGCTTTCGCGACCAACCCTCCCCCCAAAAAAAACAAAGTATGAGTCAACTGGGGTCATCAGCTCCGGTATGACACAAAACCGACAGCCAGTTTTTTTCTTGGCGTGTTCCCCTTGTTTTCTGGTTGCACTCCCATCTATTGTTTGTAAAATCCCAAGTAAGATGTGATGTGCTTGGCTTTTCATTGATACTGCCGCCCCTCTGCTGAGTTGAGAACCCTAACTTGGGATACTTGGGCCTCTTGTGAGAAACATATCCATCATACACCACCTCTTCAATTTTGACCATCACTTCCCAACTTTTGAAGTACAAGCGGACCACCCAGTACCTTCCATCAACTCCGAACTCCAGCCCCTACCAACCACCCCAACCCCCAACCCCAAGCCCAACCCCCACCAAGTCACCGACTTGGCATCCGCCCCCCGCACCCTCGGCAACGAGGGCATCAGCAGCGGGTCCAGCTGATGCACCAAGTGCCGCCCCGGCGTCGTCGCCAGTGCATCGAAGAGCAGGTCGTCAATGTCCAGGATGATCCCCAGCGCCACGGCGTTCAGGATCCTAACGGTGCCGGGCGCCGGCGCCCACGCGAAACACGAAATAGAGATGCGTCCTAAATGTGTAGTATATGTAGTCTTATAGGCGCGCCGTTAGGTCTTTTTAAATGGGATGCTGATGTTCACATGTTCTGATATTCTGGAAATTCCTCAATCTGGAATGGTGGGTTGAACTAGGGATGGTGGTCCGGTGAGTCTTCCCTACAGCGGGGGATGATCACCGAAGCTGAGATACCAGAGGTCAAAAACCAGGATCCATGGTGAGTGCATGGCTTGATGCTGGGCCCTTTTCTCAAAGACTCTTGGCATTCCAATTTCCAATTGGTTTGTTTTCCTATTTTACCTGTTTGTAACGGTTGCTGCATCAAAAAGGATAAGAAATTGGGCGTCCCATCCTCCAAAACGTATGAATTTCCACCGCTTTCCCTGTTCTTCCAGTCACCCAACAATCCGTCCCAGGGTCAGTTCGGTTACACTCACGGTGTAGACGAGGAAATAGGTGCCCACCCAAACCAATAGAACTGCGGCAAACAGGCGGTAGAGCAGCAGCACCAGGCTGAAGAATTTCCGGCGCCGTGCCACCCTTTTCAGTTTATAGTGGCGCACCTGGAAAATGAAGCAGCTGTTCATAGTTCAGCAGGGACCCAGCGCATCCCATGAAAATAAAAGCGCTAAAACAATCTCATTGAAAGATCCAACCAATTCCCCTTTCTGTTTGGTTCATCAAACAATCCCCAGGACAATGCTTCCCACCCATGGCGCTACCTGAACACTTGGGGCATTTGGGGTCCCCCATCTTGGCCAAAAGGGTGGTTTTTGATATCAGGGGTGATGGATCGCCAACATAAACCTCCAAAATGAAAGGTACCCTCTGGTAAATTAACGTAGACCCTGGCAGATAGGGGTTGGAAGACTAGTTTCCATTAAAAAGTGGTGATTTTCAGGGTCTATGTTAATTTACCAGGGGGTAGTATCATTGTTATTTGGTGATCATCATCCATTTAAGTTGTGCATCTCCCAACTCCCGACAAACAACACCAACACATTAACCCCCATCTAAGTCTTATGTCCATTGTTGTTCCCACTATAATCCCCCGAATTTAAACATTTTAAACCATGGCATTGGGGACATTACCCTCATCTCACTGCCCCCTGGTAAACTCACATAGTAACATAGCTATGAAAATCACTGTTTTCAAGATATGCAACAAATTATCAAAGGACAAATACGTGCGTTACACAAACCAACCCTAGATGTCCATAGCACAGCAATACCCATCTATACCTGTGATAAGTCAAGCGTTATTCCCTCCAATCTTTATAATTATCCATGATATTCCTATCCACCTATATTGCCATGCATTTTATATGTGATGTAGTAGTGCTTATCCAATCCATGATAGATATTTCATAGGCTTTCCCATTTGATATGTCCAATTAGAATCGTATTTCATGATGGATTTCCAATTAGTAATAATACCATCCACCATATATTTCCAGCAATAGTCCATAACCACATAACACCTAGGACATATTTCCCCATGTTTTATGTCCCACTGTGAATTAGCAACCACCGGCCGGCCACACCATACTTTTTGAGGATCATCCCACGAATCGTAAGTTGTGGTTAATAACCATATTGGGGATAAGTCCATATTGTTGTCATCCATATTGGGATAATACCATTCCACGAAAATAAGTCCATATTGTTGTCATCCATTGATGGGATAAGCCATCGAAAATCGGGGACTTACCATACCCATCACCGGGCGTATTTTCACCACGACCCTCCCTGGGATGATCCTGGGTCATTTCGGCGGCATCCGGTGGCCCTTGGGGCCTGTGTGAAGGGATTTTCCCGTGTCTCGATGATGGTCTGCCCTGAAGGCACCGCGATGATTCCACGGTGGAGTGCCAGGGCGTGACTCACCTGACCAAGGCGACCAAGGCCCGGCCGGCGTGGCTTGATCGTTGAAGACCCAACGACCATAGCAACAGAATTTAAAGGAAAAGCCAACATCTTTGGTAAGTGGTAATTTGAATCTTACTTAAAAAAAAATTGGGGATAGTATACTAGTGAAACCGGAGGAACCTTAGTCTATAGAAAACAAATTGCTAAAACCTAACCTCAGTTGAAAAACAAATGTTTTCTGCTGACGAAATCAGGCGTTCACCAGTCGAAATGCTGATTTGGCAGATAGAAGTGAGGATTCAACCCAACGCAAATCAAAGCCGAAATGCCAAGGAATCAAGTTGTGCGAAATGGTATATTTCATGATAGGAAATCAGAGGAAATCTCTATATATCTGGGTAAATTATAGATAATATTTCACTAACCTGAATAGTTCGGCCATTTGGGGATGATTCCCCTAAAATAAACCATGATTCCCAATTCCCAGTGAGGGAGAACAGTGAGGTCGTTATAATTTACCCAGATATATAATTTCTGGTGGCTCCAAATTCTTTCTCCCCATATCCTGCGAGGCACCCCTGTGATCCCAAGCTGTTTGGTACCAGCTCCATCGAGACTTGAAGCATGGCAGGGATTGAATGGCAACACATGTCAAATCTCGTCACATATCATGCACCATCTGTCATATGCCACAGGTCATGTGTCCATAAATCCCTATATCAATGTATCCTATCAATCATATCAATCATAACGGCCCACCATTCCATCAGTCATTTACGAATAAATTCTAAACATCATATCCCTCACTCTGGATGGGTTTTTTGTGCCTTTTTGCGTTGCAATTCCCGCAGTTCTACCCTGCAATCCTGGATGTGCCTCCTTGGCAACCATCAAATACCAGCAAATCAGCGCCACAATGCAAAGCATCTGCCCTGTGAAGTAGCTTTCAAAACCTTCCCTGCCGCTTTTCCTGGGGCTTTGGAAGTGAAGTAACTGAGAGCAGGCTAGTTATAGAAGATTTATAGAAGAAATGAGAAACCTAAACCGAAGCCTTTCTGAGCAGGAATTGGGCTTTCTGAGAAGGTTCGTTCAATCCGACATGACTTCGTGAAAACATTCTTGATACATTACCCAAAATCATTTCGAAAAGAAAGAACTATATAAATACAGAAAAATGTGAAACATATACCTTCTGGGAACCTCGTAAGGCAATGGAAAATCCTGAGTTTGTGTACGAAAATATCTGCAAAAGCGTGTTTGGACTGTCCATTACCCTGTTATCAAAACGGGACAAAACGCCTGAAGCAAAACCCAGATCTCAAGTATCTCTCAATGTTTTCGTACAATGCAACCTCGGCTCATGCTGCTAACCCACTGGGTCACGGGGGGGTTAGCAACTCAAGCGACCCAATCAATCATGGATGGATAAGTGATGAACCGATGCCTTGTGCCGATGAGAGCCCCTGGTACTTCCGCGGCGTTGATGCCAGGTGGTTGGCTGACCAGCCAACCGGATGGACAGAATTCAGCGAGGATCTAGGGGTACAATATCCAAGCAACGGGCTTATGATGTATTTCACCTACCCTCTGGTAAACTAACATAACTATGGAAAATCGCCATGTTTCATGGGTAAATCAACTATGAATGGCAATTTTCAATAGCTATGTTAAATTACCAGAGGGTATTGTTACTGTATGTTTCCATTCTTGCACTGGTCATGTACCCAAGCATACTGTGGATCCATGAGAGTCATGGCCAGCCTAGCGTTCAGAAAGTCACCCATCCTCATACACCTTGGTGAAATGAGTATGTGGGATTCCCTCTATTCATCAACCAACCAGGCATGGACATCTATGATCTGGATAAATTGTATATAGTAGTTCACTAACGTGAGAAATTCGGCCATCGAATCCCAATCTTAACCATCATTCCAATGATGTTGCAACGTGAGGTCGTCATTTATTCACAATTATCCATACTTCTCTCCAAAAAAACATAAGAATCCATAATACATCGAACAGTGTTAGTATATGGTCCATTTAAAAAATATGCTGGCGGATACTCATGAACAGTACCAAAGACGTCTATCTTGACTTCCTTAGATTTCCTTAGCACATGGATTTCTCAACCCAAGCGCCCATGGTCCACCGACGTCCACCGTCCGGGCACCTGGATCCCGGATTGCTCCAGTGACTTGTCCAGGTTGCAGACCCGCTGCGCCAGCGACTCGCGCGACAGTGAGCTGTAACCGCTCAGCGAGTGGCCGGAGGATCTCGGCATTTCGCGGGCGTTTTAAAAGGGTGGTTGATCATTGGGGTTACCAACGGTTACCACCTTAGGCTTCAAGGGCTGGAAAATGTCCATTTTTTTGGGGAAAATGTGGAGCAGAATCAAATCACGGAGCTAAGGCTCAGGCGTTGTGACTGACAGAGATGGTTGTATAATTTGCTGCTGGCTTCAAGCCGAGCAAGAGAGATAGAAACAAAGGCACAAAGGCATAGGTACCAGCAGTATATGCAAGATCAACATGATCAACCCTATATATGAAGAGAAAACACGAAACAGAGACAGAAATGCCCTTAATACAACAGCGACATGGACAGATTTTTTTCCGGGGATAGGGACAGAAAAGATGATGAGATGAAGGAAACATAGCATATCAGGCATATCATACATGTTCTAAATACTAAATACACTAATCCCATCCCCCGTTCATACTAAAAACCCATCTTTTTTGGTCCCTTGTTGATGTGGAAATTCGTCACTAAGGGGGTGACCTCCTCCACCTTGTGGCTTCCTGGACCGATGTCTCGTCCACTTCAGGGGTGGTGAAATTGAAAAAGGCAATGGCCACGAAGACCACCTCAGGCAACAAAAAAAGGTAACGAAACCATCGGAAAATGTGGATTTCATGGGATAAAAATAGCTGATTTCTGATAGCTAAGTTGACTTATAAGCCCCCTAGCATGATGATTTCAATGGGATTTTCCTGGGGACATAACCATGAAAATTGGCAAATATCACTGATGTAGAATTGGGATTGTCCCAACCTGGATTATCAGATAGCTAAGTTGACGTACATCACTTGGTTCACGTTTGGGTTTTTTTGGGGGGTTGAAACTAGAATGAATGGTTTTAGTAACAAACAGAACCGGGGGTGACTCACTGGACTCACCGTGGCGAGATCCCCATCTGTAAACCATGGAGGAAAAGCCACGGGGCCCCCCGATGGCTATGACACCCCAAGCCGCGGGGCGCTAGGGATTTTTCAATGTCTACCGTACTGTGAATCAGCCACGTGGCTGGGAAATCCCTGAACTAAAAATGGAGGTTTTACTGGGAAAATCTTCGATTCTAGATGGTGGATTTTCAGTTGCCACGGTTGAGTACTGGATGCTTATTGGGATATATATGTCGGGGACATATATGATTTTCTAACATCTATGTGGATTTTGCGGATTTTTTCGTTGTTTTCTAGGGAAATGATCTACACATCCTGGGCCTTCCAAATCGATTTGAGATACCGGTGACTGATCTCCAGGATTTCTCAATGGATTGATCCCGAGAATCGGGGATCAAAAATTGAAAAAAGTAGTGCAGCTATTGGATTTCTTGGTTCTCTGCTTTTCTTGGTCAATAAGTGATGGATTGAACTTTGGATTTGTGTGTGTGTGTCTTTATTTGATCATTTTATCCGTGTTATCTAAGTTGATCTAACATCATCTAAGATTCTTCCGGCATCTCTCAATGATGGGACTCCAACAATCCAAATCGAGAAGCCGGGGAAGGCCACAAAAATTGATTTTTTGGGAAGGTTCTCCCACTGGATATTGCCATCTTGGAGCCCGCCAAGTGAGACGACCACTGGGCACCTGCATGAGCACATTCACCACCGCCAGCAGGAAGGTCTGCCACGAGCCCAACGGTCCCAGTGCTCCAGTGCCGATGAAAAACACAAGGTCCCAAGTCGACTCTCCAAAGCTGTAGTACCTTGGATTTATGTGAGCCCCAAAGGATGTATATAAACCTACCCCGCTGATCCCAGAATTCGAAAAATCGCCAGGACACCATGAGATTTGGTGGAAAAAGCCAATGAGCTGTGGCTGAAGAACAGTGGACAGCATCGTACTTTCAGCTACGGCCCTGCAATTCTTGGGGTAGAATGGTTCTTTCTTGGCATGGGTGGTTGTGCATGTGCTAAAATTCCGTGTGCGGTGAGCAATGCTGGTGGTGTCTCTCTCTCTCTCTCTCTCTCTCTCCATTGCCATCTCCGAGAGCTTAGCAGTTGAGCCAAGGGCAAAACGCAAGCCTTCGGCCCAGTGCCCAGAACTCATGTTTCGGTCAGCACATCAGCAACTTCATCTCACCAGCCCGGGCATGGGGCAACCGACTTATGTCATACATTTCAGTTGCCAAAGGGGATTAATCTGCCTTTTCAATGGGCAAATCTTCCGCCAGGGAGTGATTTTCCAGGGAGTGATTTTCCGGTATTTTCCGGGTTTCCGGTATTTTCAGGGAAACATCTCAAACCACAGCTATGTGACATTTGTTAATTGGGAAAGGCATTGCTGTGACCCATTTTCGAATCAGTGAAAAATCCGGATCCTCAACAATAAGGGCTGATACACTGTTGGCTACATCCCCATGGGGCATTGCAAACATGTTATTTTTCCTTGCTTACATGTGTGTTGGCACATATTCCCGCTTTTGTTGAAATTCATCTCCCCATATGTGATATTCGTTTTGGTTGTTGACACAAATCCAAGTTCTTATTCATGTTGATTTGCCCTGTGAAGAAAATATATGGAGGTTAGCTGCCCATTTGGTTGTTGTATAACTCTCAGTAACTCTCCCCATTGTTGGGTTGATTTCCGTTTGGGCTGGCAAAATCCCACCAATTCAATTTCGACTGGTCAACAATGCCTTCCGACCATCTTTGGAGTGGTTCTCCCAGTCCTAACCATCATCCACAGGCGTGAGGGCACATATATAAAATGTATTTCCCAAGGGTTCCCCACACTTGGCAAATTCCCGTTGGACCAAATAGAAAATAAGAAAGAAACATTGGTGGGCCTAGGGGCTCCTGCGTTTGCATATCCAGCAGCTGCTCATGCATCTCCACCGTCTGTTGGTGTGACAACCCCTCCACGCTGCTGCGACGCCGTGTGGGCGAATATTCAGCCATGGCTTGGGGTGAGAGGCCGGCCTGACACAATGGCAGGGTGCTTTGGGGTTGTACTCAGCACTCATCCTGGTCTCTGGGTGGGATTTTTACTGCGATTTCTGCAGGAATCTTTTGGAATTTAAGGTGATAAAGTTGACCTGCTGTGGATTTGAGAATCAAACGTGAACGAAAGCCTAGCATTGGTGCGAGTCAAATGGAAAGCTCCAGCCATTCTAGAAAAAAGGGGAAAAATTTATAGTAAACCCAAGAACTTCCACAAAATTATAGGCTGTGAGGTAATTCGCCCCCGTTTATAGACGATAAACATTATAGCCTATTACATCCTATTACAACCAAAAGAAACTGTTTAATCCATTCCAGAACATCCTGTTTATCGGCTGTAAAATTCTCCCCTGCTGTGTCCAAATGCTTCTGGAGCACCGGGAGGCTTTTCAGATCAATGATGCTCTCCTCCGCGTTCCTCGGCTTCATCGTGAACAATGAAAATCCAAGTCTTGTTGGGATGAAATCCCTCTATCCCCTTATAAGCCCCTCTCAAATATCCCCTTATATCTCCCCATTGTGTAGATAAATATATATATATATATATTTATTTATCTATTTATCTATTTATCTATGTATTTATATATCTATTTATATATTTATTTAGTTCTTGATATTTATATTTATATTTATATTTATTCTTATTTTTTATATTTATTCTTATTTTTATATTTATGTTAATTTACATTTATATATATATTTTTATATAGTTACATCTATTATCTATTTGTATTTATGTTTACTTTTATTTATTTATATATATATATATGTGTGTGTGTGTCTGTGTGTATGTGTATGGGTGTATGTATATATTTTTTACACACACACACAGATATATATATATATATACATTATATACACAACACTCTTTATCCTCAGAAACTGTACACCCCCAGCATTTTTTCTCGATTGGTAAAACCCATGGCCATGGCCAAGCCGCTCTGTGCCCTCCTCCGGTCCAGCCAACTGCACCGGCGCCTCGTCGGTCCACTTCGGCCCAGGGTGCCCGAGGGTGAGCACCGGCTCCACGGACGCCAGAGGCAGGGCGGGGCTGCGGTGATCGCTGTCCACGTCGCTGCTTAAAAGGAGGAAGCCTGCGGGAAGCTGATGAGTTAGGAAGTTGGGATTTATTGTTGGTTATATTTTTTTTTTGATCCCATACATTCACACACATCTACTTCAAGCTGGTGACAATAGAAGTGCTCTGAAGTACCCAATTGGTACTTCCAAAATGGAGCCCCGAGGATAAAATTACAGTACAGTATATCTCCATAAAATGCTTGGGTATCCATTCGTAGCTCCAACTGCCTCCCCATAAAACAGGGAATATGGATACCTATAGCTCGGAATTGATCCCTCCTAACCGCTGGATAGTTTATTGTTGGTTTTAAATCCCATTACACGCACATTCATTTTATATATATATATATAATATTATATAATCGTATGTATATATTTTTTTATTATTATTATTATTTATTTATTTATTTTATTTATTTATTTATTTATCTATTTTAAAAAAACATGGTTGGATTCTGAGGGGGCACCAACTATGTTATGGAGATATATCAGATTTATAAGCGGCAACATTGATTTTAAGGGTGGTTAATGTGGCTAGAAATCATCCACGAAAAAACTGGCGATTGAATGTTGGCCCTGAAGAAAACGGATGGAGAGGAAAAGATGTTTGAACATGACTTCACCACAGTTAACCAAATAGAAAATGGACAGGGAAACACGAGATGCCGCCTTGGTCCTCCAGTTGCTTCATCATTTTCTCCATCACCACCAAGCCTTAGCAGCGGTCAGTTGTGATTTGATTTGACTCAAAACGACTGGGATTTCACCAGACAAAATGGAAACTGGGAGGGGTCATTAGAAATGATTGACCCATACCCATCGATCACAATGTATCATCCAAGGCCGATATCATCAGCTCCATAATCAGCTCCATAATCAGCTCCATTCAAAACAAATCCGTCCCATCCAATCAGGATCGCCGATCAAATCATTAAAACCCGAAAATAGAAACATGAATCGAAAATCGAAAATCGGCCAACATGGCCTCAAAGATGCTCTCGTCGGCCAAGCGCTCGAGAGAACCCACATCGTTTTTGGCCCGGCCCCCCAGTGCCAGATGTTTGGCGCCCAAAAATCTTCCGACTTTCCCAGTTTCCAAGGCATGACACGATCGTGGAGCTGCGGCACCAGCCCCGCCAGGGCCACTTGTTCCTCCAGCTCAGCGAAGCGTTGGTCGATGATGTTCAGCAGCTCCCCGCCACTCCTGGGATGGCTGGATGGCTGTTGTATGGGGAAGGGAAGTGGATCATGGGAAAAAGTCAAGGAAAATGGCAGGATGAAGTTCGCGTTGGTTGGTTTATGACAAGTTTATGAGACATCTTTTTTCATGTTGCTTGCTTTGCTTGTTGGAATGTAACAATGTACGGTTTTTCGCGGTTTTTTCCATGGGCAGCTGGGTGGAAGAATGTTGGGTGATGGAAGATTCGGGCAAATTTCTTGGGGAGCGTGATTGGAACTCGGGTGTTGTCAACCAAAATGGTTTTAAAACCAATCATTCGGCGGCTTCTCAGCAAGCAGCTCAGCAGTGGCTTCTTCATTTTGGGAGGAACCATCAAGAAAACAAATGAAAAAACGCACAGGCGGATGCATGCTGCTGGGATACGTGAGGTATGACTCCAGCCACATATTAGCAGCTGAAAAACATCATGTTTTTTGAATATGCCATCCAATTTGATGGCTTCCAACCTCTAGAAGGATAGCATGGCAAGCCCCCAGCCCTACGTGCTCACGGCTCATCAAAACACAACACCTTATGAAGTTTGGTGGTTTCATGTTTCGCTTGGAACACTCCCACTTTACATCACTTTACCACATTAGCATCATCAGCTGGTTGCTCAGCTTCAAGTGATTCTCCACACCAGGACTGCACTGAACATTGGGCAAGGTGCGCTTTCCTGCTGGGTGTGGACGCCATCTCTCAGCGCGGCTGTGCCGCTGTGCGAACCCCGTGTGAACCGCTGGCTGCGATCAAGAAACGGCGGCGGGAGCGCCATCGGGACAATATTTCATGTTTAGCCTTGAAATGTCTTGATGTTTAGGTTAGTCTTGAAATTGTCGATTCAAACTTATGGTTCCATGGCAATGTGACGATTTTCACAGCGCAGCTCCAGAAACCGGATGATTTGATCATCAGCCGAGCCGCAGGGTCAGTTGCCATCCATGAAGAAAGGCGATCGTGATACCGGAGACGAACTGTCCGATGCTGGCGATCAAAAATCCCAGGCCCATTGCCATGAAGATCTGCACCTTCAGCTGATCAGGGGCCAAACTTTGAGGATCCCGGGTCTTCACCAAGGAAGGGTGAAGATGAATCCCAGTTCCTGGGTTTTCACAGAAAATCACACCAAAATCCTGGCGAAGCCTCTTCTAATTGCCTGAGGTTTGCTTAAACTCACCATGACACCATGACACCCCAGCGGTTTTGGCCTGGGCTATGTCCATCTCCAACTTCGCTGCCAAGCCCGCAGGCTCATTGTTGTCAAACCAGCTGATGTCCAGGGACAGGACCTTATCCATTGCGACTGTTGAAACCCCGGGTGAAGGATGTCTACATATAAGTTTGGGTTTTCAAAACCCAATAGTCCAACGGTATTTGAGCCTCTGACCGCTAGCCTTGAATATTTCAGGTTTCTCCGGCTAGCCCGATTGACGAGGCGAACCCAGAAGTCTTGAAGGCACCCGTTGCAAACCTTCAAGCCTCCCCAACTTTGAACCCCTTGGCTGGACCCAAATCTCTTATGCATTCTTATGCAATCTTCTCTCTTCAAGGCAGATTGGTTCAGCGTGATCTTTTCGGCCTCTTGCAGGCTTCGTGATATTTCATCCAAGACCATCACATCGCGTCTTGGGTCCGTGCTCACTAGTATTTGTTCACACTTTCAGGATGTGTCAACCCAAAAAAAGATCAAAGAAGCGGAAAATCCTCCTGAACTCTCAAGAAATCCAATAACCCCAACCCCAACCAACCCCAACCCCAAAATCCCTCCAGACGCCCAGTGGCGGATTTCAGGAAGAGCAGCTGCCATCGCAACGCTTGGTTCGCCGAGGCCCACATCAAGGCCGTCTGCCAGCCCCAGGCCAGTAGAAACTGGGCAATTGCCTGGAGATGCATTGGGGAAATCTGTGAAAACATATGGAAAACATATGGAAAACATATGGAAAACATATGGAAAATCATGAAACGTCCATTGTTGCCTGGAATCGCCAGGATGTTTTCAGTTTTGAGCCAGCTCCCTGCAACCCAAGATGCCAAGATAGTGATCCGCATGAGCACGCCACGCATGTCGCTCAAAATCTCGCCTGTCGACATCTACAACTTGGAAAATGGTGTTATATAAATTTTCTGGGGTAAGAGTACTGGCCCGGCACCTGGGAAATTTGGATTCTGAAGATGATCTTTCTGTTGCAAAATCCAATTTCAGGGAGTGCATGTCAACCCAAATGAATCGACTTATTTGATTATGTTTATACTTATATCTATATATTTGTATATTTATATGTATATATTATATATATAATATGTATATATATGTATATATATATACATGTGAATGAGAGAGCAATTGCCTGTAGCACGGATCCCAAAAAGGGCTATGATCACCGATCATCGAAGATGATTTCCTCTCGAAGATCGGCCCATCGGCTGATGGAGCCAGAAATTCGCTCGAAGCCAAGTTCTCAGGTTCATCCACAGTAAGATGAACTCTTTGTAACATGGAGTGTGCCTCCTTCCCACCCCCCTTTCCCCTTGCCGGGCTCCCAAGCCTGGCTGACTGGTGGTCAAGACGTTCACCGCACGGCCCGTGAACATCGCAATCAGCGGAGCGGAGGCGCCCTGCAGCAGCGCCAGGAAACTGCCGAGGAAGAGGCAAATCTTCTCACACCACGTGGTCTGAGACAAGACCTCGAAGTTTCCCTCCTGCAGGGTGGTAACCGAGTTACGTTCATCTTCGTTTATAAATGGTTTTATAATCCCCTGTAACCAAAAAGTTAAACATCCCCCTAATCCACCCTAGTTCTTGGAGTTACAAGACAACTTAGCCAACTATGGGGCCCCACCCTGTGTGTTCAGGTGACTCAGGCGATCTTCTCATGTTTTTGCGGATGATATGTGTTGCCGGTTTTTGGCGCCGGGTTTCCCCAAAGGCACCACCGTGCTTCTGGTGCAGGAAAGGTTCATGATCATGATGAGAGAGAATCAGATCGTTTCACACACGGCAGGCTTCCCACCCACCGCGGCGCGTCCTCTTCCTCTTGCTCCTAGGTACATGGGGAGAGCTGCGACCTTCCCTGCCCCTTGAGAACAATTTCATGTTCTCCTTGCATCATAAGAATGCAGAGTAGGTTGAGCCCTTATCATCCAAGGCATTTGGGATGTCGCAAATCATCACATCAATACGAATCCTCAGTGAATGTGAAATGGCTCCCTTTGGTAAGACCATCCCAATCTAAGCTCAGCACCCCCTCGGACTCATCGCTGTTGGACACCTCCGTGTACTCTCCGTTCTCCGACATCGGTCGTCACCCCTCTGGGAACTCTGCGCCCGCGAACACTAAGCACAGCCAAAAACTGCGAGGCTCGGCCGAGTGACTGGCAATCAACGAAGCAACAAAGAATATCTGGGAAAAACGCCCAGCTCCGCAGTTCAGCCCCCAAAAGTGGTTGCAGAAATTGGAACCTTAAGCCGAGGGGGTGATCCCTCCATACCAGTTCATATCCATGTCCACGTCGGCTTGGGTCAAAGCGTGAACCTTTCTCTGTTCCTGCCGAAAAGTCAGCCTCGAGGCTCTTCCATCTTTAGAAAAAACGGTGCCTTTCCGATACGGCGCATGGCGTTTCTGCCATAGAATGGGGACGGACAACGATAACACGTTGAAAACACAGTGCTGCTTCTGCCCAAATACCCCCCAAAAAAAAGAGGTAAACACCTGAAGCTGCCGTGCCCCTCCTGTGGCGTTGCACATCCTGACCCATCACTGGTCTCAATTTCCCGCTCACTTGATCAGAGGGTTGGCGAACAGCAGCACCAACGCGATCACGAGGCCGTAGATCGTCAGGGATTCCTCACCAGGTCTGGCAGTTTGGAACTGTTTTTGAATCTTGACATGATTCTTTTGAAGATACATAGGTATGTATATGTATATGATTGTGTATATATATATATTGTATACTGATGTTTTACATTTATTGACACATTTAGCATTGCATGTCCGTCAGTACAGGGGAAAAAACATTGCCATCTATCTATCTATCTATCTAACTATCTACCTACCTACCTACCTACCCATCCATCCATCCATCCACCTATCCATCTATCCATCTGACTATCTACCGATCTATCTGTCTGTCTATCAGTCTCTTTATCTATCAACCTATCCGTTTTTTTCTGTCCATCTATCTATCCGTCCATCCATCCATGTACCTATCTATCTACCTACCTACCTATCTGTCTATCCTAGCCATCCTGTTTACCCTGTCTACCCTATCTACCCATCAACCTATCTACCTACCTACATGCCTATCTATCTACCCCTCGGCCTATCTACCTATCTATCTATATCTATCGATCGATCGAGCGATCAATTTTTTAACATACGATTCACTTCAATACAACTCTACTCTATCCTCTCTAATCCTCTCCAATCCTCTCTAACCCTCTCTAACCCTCTCTAACCCTCTCTAACCCTCTCTAACCCTCTCTACTCCTCTCTAATTCTGAATCCTCTCTAATCCTCTCTGCCTCAACTCTAATCCTCCCCATACAATCCTCTCTGATCCTCTCTAGTCCTCTCAATTTCTGTCTAATCCCATCTATCTGCCTCTGTGCTTCTCCCGACTTATGGGGCACATCTCATCCACCAACCATTCACCAAGGTATGCCACGCTGTTCAATCAAAGATTCCATGAACGCCAAGGACAGCAGCAGCACACCTCGCAAGTCATCGGCCACCTGGACACAAAATGGGCTGAGAACAACAATTGCCATGCGAATGCTGTGGTATTGAAACACGGATATGGATATCAATCATGCCCTTTTGGTATAGAGGGGCCGGGAGCTGGTGAATCCCATCTATCATCATAGAAACCTGTTGTTAAAGGGGTTTCTTCAAACCCCTCTATTAATCAACCAACCAATTGGGAAAAGGATATCTATGATGGATATATCTATGGGAATCCATGATTTTCCAACTCTCGGGGTTTCCTCCCGATTTTCAGCCAATTCTGGGCGGATGCGGAGGCCAAAAATGGCTGAACCACCTGAAAACTGGGGAGGCCAAGTCATTTCCTATGGGACGTTCTGTTCATTCACCAGGGACAATGGAGAACCCCAGGTGTCCACGGTTTCCACTAGTGTATGCCTAGTACTGTATACCTCAACTCACTCCAAAATCATCTGCAGCTGAGCCAGGAATTTCAGGTGATCTCATTCAACATGGGTCTTGTCACCTTAAACACCCCCTCGACCAAAAAAAAATCACCGAGTTTTAGATTACCATCAACATCTACTCGGCAATAAGAACTCCTCCAATGTACCAAATTTCATTCGAGTCTTGGCAGAACGAAGCCCCCACTTGTTGAAGTTTCTTCGAATCTATGGATTGGTTCATTTACACCGGATACCGGTTGAATTTTCCCATGAAATAGGGCAAAATACTCAAGTTTTCCCTTAATTTCCCAGCTATCCACGGATTTTCCCATGACATATGGGGGGTTCCAAGTTCCAGATTGCCCTTCAAGCTATGACCCCCACCTCCGGCTGGCGGGAGATGCCATCAATGCAGCGCCCGGAGGCAATGCCCTGTCCCACGCCGCTGCCAATCGCTGCCAGGCCGATGGCGAAGCCGGCGCCGATGGCGGAGAGGGCAGGGATCCAGACGCCATCGGCCGCGTGGGCGGCCTGGAGCTGCTGGAGCTAGAAGAGTTGAGGTTAGTAAGGGCATAAGTTTTTTTAGTAAATATATATATATATATGTGTGTATGTATGTGTGTGTGTGTGTGTATTTATTTATTTACTTATTTATTCATCTATCTATTTATGTATGTATGTATATATGTATGCATGTATGCATTTATGTATTTGTTTAATTTATTTATTTATTTGTTTGTTTATTTATTTATTTATGTATTTATTCATTCATTCATTTTTTTATTCATTCAATTATTTATTTATTTCTCTATTTATTTATTTATTTATTATTTATGTATTTATCTATTTTTGTATTTGTTTATTTATTTATTTATTGTTGTATTTATCTATTTTTGTATTTATTTATTTATGTATTATTTATTTATTTATTGATTTATTTATCTATCTAATTACTTATGTATTTATGTATGTATGTATGTATGTATTTATGTATGTATGTATGTATGTATGTGTGTATGTATGTATGTATGTATCTATCTATCTATCTATGTATCTATGTATCTATGTATGTATGTATGTATGTATGTATGTATGTGTGTATGTATGTATGTATGTATGTATGTGTGTGTATGTATGTATGTATGTGTGTGTGTATGTATGTATGTATGTATGTATGTATGTATGTATGTATGTATGTATGTATGTATGTATGTATGTATGTATGTATGTATGTATGTATGTATGCATTTATTTATTTGTTTAATTAATTTATTTATGTATTTATTTGTTTGTTTGTTTATTTATTTGTGTATTTATTATTCATTCGTTCATTTATTTATTTATCTATTTATCTATTTCTCTATGTATTTATTCATTTATTATATATGTGTGTAATCATATATTTATACGTATATGTATGTGTGTGTAGATGCTAATAACTAACAACTATGGAAGATTTGAGATAAAGCTGATGCTTTGGCAATATGGTAATATCTACTTGGGGGTGCAGTTGAGGTGAAATGCATGGGTATCACTCTGCGATGTTAACCTCCAGAAGTTGGGATGTAACCCCTCTCGTTATGGTTTATGTGCCATTTATAACCTCAACTGCGCCCAAAAGTATATGGTGATCCTTTGGAAATTGTGCGTTTGTCCATTCATGGCACAAGAGTGAAACTGTGGGCATGCGGCAGCGAAGACTCAAACTGACATCTTCGCGCATGTTCCAGCAACTTTGGTTGGGTTGCTCTTCAACTGGGTCTCTTTCAAGCCTTTTCCCGGTAATCTGGGAGATTTCAATAGTAAACCCTGATCGACCCAACAAAAATTGCAGTTCATTGGTTTGTTGATCATGAGCAGTGCACAACCTGCGGGAACCTCCAGCCATCCCCACCTGTGGTGTGACCAAGGCCATGGCGCTCACTGCCGCCGTCTGCGCGGACACCTGCGGGTGTGCCGCTGCCGCCGGGCGGGGGGCCGCCACGAAGGCACAGAAGCCGGCGCTGCACAGCACTGCGGCGGTCAGCAGGAGGGAGCGAGGGGCGGCCATTGCTGCGGATCCACAAAAATCAATGGCACCGGTGTCAGAAAAATCTCAAAGGCGATCTGGGAGCCCGAAAAGATGGACGGAATTTGGCAGAAAGGCCGCGGAAAAGTGGCATGGATACCTGGAAACACCTATGAAAATCATGAAACAAATCCTTGAGAAATTCGGATAGTTGTCAGAATTTCCAAGGTGTCAATAAATATATTTGGCGCCTGCAGCCGCCTTGGCAGCCTCTGCGCTCTTGGGGGGTGCCATGGCAGCTGCCTGACTAAGTGCTGTGCAACTGGCGCGACCCTTCAATGATACATGACTCAGCTGTTTCATGTTTGATTCCGTACTTCTTCGTTCTTATCATTATCCATGCGCAAGTCCATACACTTTTTTTGTCCGAATGTTTACATTCCATCCGTGGCATTTATCATCATTTATCATGACAAACAAAGCAATTAACCAACCAAGGCCCAAAGGCCCATTTGGGCCCTCAAAAAATGGCTGGTGGATTCTGAGCGACTGGGCTTCGGGCTGCAGCCTCCGCTTGTTTTCGATTGGTGACCTCAGGATTCAGCACGACGGAGCCTGAATGATAACTGCTTGCTTCAGAGGTAGGTGTCACGACCTCTTAGGAGACCCTGAATTGAGGGGTTTACCAATCCTGGGTGAATATTGTTGGGGTCTGCTCCAGAAGAAAGGGAAAACAGAAAGCATGTTTCCCTTTCCATAGATGAGGCCAAACCAAACATAGAAACATCAAAGAAAGCCATCCATCGAGAATCGATGTCAGGGTGAAAACGTAAGATAATCCAATAATTCATGCTAAAGAAACAAACATGTCGCCTCCTCGTTTCCCTCAAACCAACCCAGTGACATCACGAACGACTATAGGATAAAGCCAACAATTTTATGCTATGGGAAATGTTTGCGTTCACATATCTGATTCTCATGCTTGGCAACAACGAAACTGCTTGAGCTGTACTTGGAATTCCTAGTAATTTAATCCATGACAATACCGACGGCCTGTAAAGGGGCAAACTTCCTGAAATGGTTGGTGCATTCTCCGGATTAGAGGCCTTCATGTTACTACGACGCTTGGTGGCTTAGTTTCGACCACGGGTCTACCCGCGATTAAGCTGCCCACTCCCTGTTGTAGTTTCATATCATACCGAAAAGCGTTGCACATCGTTGCACTTTTTTCAATACACGACATATGGATATACATATTATCATATGGGCAAGTTATGAATCTGCAAAATTCATGTAAATTTTATCATCTCACTAGGCATAGACCCTGAGGATTTTTCATCCCAAAAAGGAAGTAGTCTTCCAACCCTACTCCTCTCTCTCTCTCTCCCTCTCCACCTACTGCACATGGGTTGTTTAAGAGTTTGCTATTGAACTATTGGAAATCCTCATTTCTAGTTGATTTATCATCATATTTCTAGTTGATTTATCATCATTGGTCTACTCCATTCTCTTCAGAATGGCCATTTTTTCCGTAGCAAAACCCACTCGGCCATCTCGGAGCTCGGTGTGCTCGGGCTCTCCATCACCTGGGGTGAAGCAACGACCAGGGAGTTGCACCGAAAATACCAGTTTTATGTGGGGAAAACCATGAGTTGCACTGAAAATACCAGTTTTTTTGGGGGGAATACCAGTTTTATGGGGGGAGAACAAAAAAAAAACTTTTTGAAAAGGATCATCTCGGTGTTTCTTTGTTTTTTCTCCATTGTCACGTTAGTTCTTTCCAAACTTCGTCGGCCCCTTGCTGTTACCACAAGTTTTCAAACGGAAAGACAACGACGGATGGCGACAGCAGTAGCCTAGAAAAACCAACTGTTCGCTGATGTTCTCTGATTTTCTTTGTCACACTTTGCCACAAGGAGTCTCTTAAACCTGGAGGGATCAGCCCAGCCAGCAGGACTTCACGCACAGGGCATTGGCACTACAGCAGCAACAGCAACAGCAACGAACCAACAACATGATGACGTCAAGGTCGATGGCAACGGGTCAACCATACGCCACACGGCAAGCCGCGCTTTGTCTAACGTTCGACATATCCCCCACCTTTGTCTAACGGTTGCCATCGCATGGTTTAATCCATTGATACCAGCCTGACCCACATATCTCAGATTGGGCTTGGCATTCGTCTTCCAAGCCTGGCAAGCGTGTTCACTATCATGGAATCTCCGGACCCAAAAAGCCGCTGCAACATGTTCTTGCGATCCAAGACCAGCATGCCGGACATACAGTAGATATTATGTTTCTACTATATGTTTATATAAAGAGCTCGCATCTGCCAGCTCGGACGGAAACCAGTGACATGCTTCCCCCAAGAAAACAAGAAATGAATCTGAACCTTGAGAAGATCTGGCAAGACCATGCAAGACCTTGAATCAACATGAATCAACCGAACCCTCAGCTTTTTTCGGTCGTTTGTCCCAACTGGTGGCAGCTGGTCATACTTGCGGCATCCATTCGGCGACACTTTCTGTGACTGAGTCAGCTGCAGACCATGGCCCCTTGAGGGCGCACGGATATCCTAAAACCGGTCGCCAGGTCGCTGCGTCAGTGGTTGGTAAGTTCCAGTGGGCCTCTTTTCTGAAATGGTTTTTGGGGATCGTCATCCGCTGGTGGGGAATGGAAGACATGGAAAAAATGGATGGACCATTGATGGACCATTTCTTGCTGGAATGGTTGCTGGTGTTCGAACTCTCCAACCAGATCACATGATCACATGACGTGCCCTCAAAATTTCATCTCCACCCAGCCACGTGCGAGTAGTGCCACCCTCTGACATGATTCAAGCCTTCCTTCCAGGGCATCCTGCAGGCATTCTGGGACCCAATTCTCTTGGATGAACTTTTTGGGAGTCAATCCTTGGATTGGCCAAAAAAAAAAATGTCAAAGTCCAGCCTGCCAGTTTCCCCAAAAAACTCTGCGGACATGGGAAAAATATGGAAAAATGGGGAAATCGCTAAGCGACGCTTTTGAAAAAAACCAGGCATCCCCGGGCATTCCGTGAAGTGAGCTCTGCTCCTGCTGCGATCAGAGCTGCCGCGGCTTCATATTGACCGCAAACCAAGGCCATGATCAAAGGCGATGCACCTTCTGAGTGGTACAGCATCTGGCTGAGTTGAGTAACCTCAGTGCCATGCAACACTGGTGGGTTGGGAGCCACCTAGCAAAGCTGTTGAAACATCCACAGCTAGAACCATTATATGTATAGAATATATAGACAAGTCCATGATTTCAAAAAAAAAGCGTATCGATAGGTGAATAGATTCAAGTGATTAGATGAGACTTGATTAGACTAGGTTGGGTTAGATTATATATATATAGATAGATTGATTGATTTAGGCTTAGATTTATATATCTTTAGGTGGCATGGGTGAGAACGAAAGACTAGAATAGGATAGACTAGGAATGGAATAGATGAGAGTAGATAAATCCATCAACACGCTAATCCTTTTGGCACTGCTCACCTTGTAAAACCGATGCTGTAAAACCATCATCATGCACATTGCTCGCGTGAGTGTTGATCGCTTCCAGCAGTCAGTTTGGCCGTTCACATCCGCTGTCATTTGCACAAGTCGATGCACCATCTCAGCATCACAAGCAACATGAAGAGCTGCAGTGACATCAAAATAAACTGAACTGCCTGCATGTTTGATAAGTTCATCCATGACTTCCACAGCCGAATAAGCCGCAGCATTGTGCATCGGGGCAAAGCCCATGGCATTTGGTGACAGCGGGCTGCAGCCAGCACTGCACAGAATCTCAACCGCTTCCTGGGCTGCAACCCTGACCATATGATTGGGGACCATCAGCCCAGTTTTTATGGTTGAAAAATGCTGAAAATTCAAAAAAATGGACTCATCATCCCAGTTCTTCAGGGTTGAACCTGAAAAATGATTGAATCAACCACTTCCCAAGAAGGTGATTTGTTTTAAAAAAATGTCATCCCAAAGGTGGTGGTTCAGAATCATTGTTTTTTTCCGACCAAGAGCTGGTTTAACATGTTCAGCAACTCCCAAAAAAATAATGTTGTCAAGTTAAGAAGTGAAAAAAATATTTTTTTATGTTCCCAATTTGGCCCAATAGGCTCCCAGAGATGGGTGGTCTTGTTGGAAGGGAAAAAAACATCAAATCCTCCCAGCATCTTGGTTGTTCACCGCAGCGGCTAGATGCAGCGGCTGTGATGCGAGCACCCGGCAGGTGAAGCGAGCCCTGGCCGAGATGAGCACCTTGACCACCTCAGCGCACTGAGGTGGTCCCTGAAGGAACTGGTTGGCCCATGGGGTTTCCCACAATAGGTTTAGCAGCCATTTCGGTCGAGCTAGTAGTATTTAGACTGGCTGGTTGAATTACACACTGGTTCTCACAATATGTCATAATAACCCCCAATAAACCAGGCATCAAAACTTTGGAAGCCCTTATAGTCTTGCAGTCACTAAGCAATAGGGTTTTTGGTCACCGCTCACCTGGTTGTTCTTGAACTGGCAAGCAATGGCCAGAGCAGAAACCCCACGTTCCAAGCCCAGGTCAGGGTGGAACCTCTTGGTGCCCTGGTTTGGGTCTGCCTGAAGGGCGAGCAGGTCTTGAACCAGCCATGGATCACCCTTCAGGGCCGCGTAGTGAAGCGGCAAGCATCCACCACCGTCAGACTCCCAAATTCAGCGGAAACCATTCTGATGGAGGAATCCTGCTACACGCGATGGGCTCGGATCAATCTGGCCTTGTCCATCTTGGCCTAAACCTTCTGGAACTTCTGGCGAGAAGAAATCGCAATCCATGCCTCGGAGCATCATAGCCTGCTGGTTCAGCAAAGCACGGTACCCAGGCCAATTCTGCGATTTCAGGAGGCTCAGCAGCTTGCGCTTGAGGACGATCCTGAGAACTGGTCCCAATTTCAAGCGATCCTCCTCCACGCTGAACAAGCCTTCACCCACTGGCCCAGAGCCAGCCAGCATCGATGCAGTTGCACTTGTGATGAGTTCGATTTCTGTCGGACTCTTAACCATGATCCAAGAGTGGTCTTTGGAGAGTTCTCTGCAAGTTCTCTCTAACCTGCTAGACGGTTGGGAACCTAACCGGGAACCACAGGAACCTGAACGGTATGAACCAAACCAGGTGTAACCTAACCGTGGTGAACCTAACGGGAAACATTAGAAATCGAACTGGCCGAACCGAACGAACCGCGATCAGGATTGAATATTATTGAATGGTCCCCACAGGAGCTTTTGAAATAAGCGACTTCGCATTGGGAGATTGTTCAATATAACAACGCCGAGAACAGGCTCCACATTAGCAACTCTTTTCTTGCTAATTTACTCCACATACTGCAGGTGGCTCCACACAGAACTCTACAGTAGCAACATGTTTATACTTAAAATATATTATATTATATGTTTATTTATTTATTTTATTTATTAAAAAATGGGCAATAAATAAATGAATGAATAATAAATGAATATTAATATAATAAATATATATATATATAACTATGAATATATATATATATATTTGTGTGTGTGTGTGCACATCGAGGGCTCAACACATGATCATCATGTAATCATCATGTAATAATAATAGTAAAATCATCATCATCATCATAATCATCGTCCTCGTCCTCCTCGTCCTCCTCGTCGTCCTCGTCGTCCTCGTCGTCCTCGTCGTCCTCGTCGTCCTCGTCGTCCTCGTCGTCGTCGTCCTCCTCCTCCTCCTTCTCCTCCTCCTTCTCCTCCTCCTCCTCCTCATCATCATCATCATCATCGGTATAATCAGGAGGAGAAGGAAGAGGAAGAGAAGAGAAGGGGGAGGAGGAGGAGGAGTGCCACCATTATCTCAAGTGGAAATCCATCTTAGAGGGCTCATGTCATGCATCAACAGTTTCAGGTTAATGAAACAGATCTGAGGATACCTGACATGTTTGGCAACAAGGACTGATGGAAATTGGAACGGAACTGTTGACGAACCGTTTACCGTTTGGAAACGTCGCCTGCACCACCCCCTGTGGTGCCATGAGGACGGTGTCAGCACGTGGTTTGGATGTTCCAGCACCGGAACCAGCGCAAAAAAAAATGAACACTCATCCACATAGGCTGGGATGCTGTTGATGGCATCCAGCAATACTCCTCTAGACCATTCATCGTCCATCTGTGGGCAGGAAAAGTAGTCATACCAGAAAAATAGCGGTCCTGAAAGCTTAGATGTGGGCAAGGGTTTGACACCCTCTCCAAAGCCTTCCGACACAAGATCCACTGGTATGCTGTGCAAGTTGCCCATCATGTGCTTCAGAGCATCCTGCAAGACTCTCATCTGCTTGCACTCCGCGTCAGGGTGCCCAATGTCAAGCCACTCGTGTGATAGGAATGCTGCCTGTCCCGTGTTTTTTCGGAACTCCACCAGCAGATCCTGAGCCTTGAGCTGCTCATGAGTTTCCACCTTGCTCATCCCAAGTAAGGTGTGCAAAGCTACCGTGTACATGGGAAAATGCATGGGTAGCACATCCTCACTGGGCTGAGTCTTGAGGGATCTTGCATACTCGGCCAAGGGCGTCAAGGTGGCGCCACAACCGCAGAATGCCATGGCACCAAGAGCCACCTGACTCTGGGTCCTACATTTGGGCCACACATGTAGAGATTCATCACATATAGAATGTCTTTGTGGCACGAGAATTCCATGGTCTTTTCTCTGAAAACAGCCCAGTGTTGGAGAGGATGCCAATAATCAGGTTCTGATTTGAGCTCGAAAAACTCAGGATTAGACTACGGCACTTTTTCCCTCCCATCAGTTCGGCTCACCTGGTGATAGATGGTGTCAAAGAAGTGAAGGAGCGTGAAGGGAATAGATCTTGAAGTTGCCAAGGCGGATTCAAATATGGAAATCCAGCTACAAGAGGGATCCACAAGTCATGTTTGGCTTCATGAATGGGACCTATTATAATATCATACCCTCTGGTAAACTAACATAGCTATTGAAAATCACCATTTTTCATAGGTAAAACAAACATCCATAAATGATCATAAATGGTCTAATTTTCCATAGCTATGTTAAAAAACCAGAGGGTAATCACCAACAACCACAACAACCACAGGCAGGCGGATGGTCGAATCCCCTGGCCCGGGACTTAAAAGATCCTCAGACCTCTGAGGGAGCTTCTTTTGACGAGTTGCCTGGTTTCTGCATCTGCTTCTTTTTCCAAGGTTTGTCCATGTTTCCTTTTCAATCTGTTTGATGGGCTGCTCTTGGACTGTTGTTTTGCGCATTGCGGCATTGCGCTGTTTTCTGCATGTTTCCTCGGTTTCGAATCGATACACCTTGTTCTGGTGAAGGCTTTCCCTGTGAAGCAACGGAAGTAGGATGGAGGAAAACATAAAGATCCAAAAAGGCACGGAATCGCTGGGTAGCTTGTAGTTTTGGGGCCCAAGTCATGACCCTTCCTAGGGATTTTGGTTGCATTCTATGGCACACCTTGTAGGGTCATTTGGATGTCATTGGAGATCGTTTTGATGTCAGACTGGGGTCATTCGAGAAGCCTCTATTCTATACATTGATTTATTATATATGTAATATATGTATTTTGTTTACTCGCTCATGTACATCCGACTTCATGAACTCTGAAATCCAGCAAGTCAAGTCCACTTCAAAATCAAGGACATTACCATTGCCTGACCGACCAGTGTTCAACTGTCCAACACCATACACCATTGCACACTTGAATATGCTGCATCATGTGCTCACATCTCGCCTCAACAGGATTTAGATCTGATGTTCTTCCATCAACTGATATCACCAAAATGATCAAAATGGGTTTGTGCAAGGCTAGGCCATACCCCACGTTGTGGCCATTTGAATGATGTTTCACAGGGGGAAAGGAATTTCTCAACGAGATTTTGGAATACCTGAGCCAAATCTGAGCCTCCAGCTGGTGCAGAGCCATGTTGGTGTCCGTGCTTGCGATCAGACGTCACAGTTGCGCGGAAAATATCTGGACCGCCACCAGCATCCAAAGACGTAATTTAGGAACTGGAAAAAGATGAAACAATCCCTATTTGATCAGAAATGAGTATTACATTCGCTATTTTGAGGTTTAGGCCTTCAGATTTACCATAGTGGCTCTTTTTTGTAGTGCTAGAAATGGAAAAAAGATAGTGATTCGAAGTGCAAAAACCATCCATTTCCATCGATTTTCTATCCAATTCTGGTGTTAATCTATGGAATTCTCCTTCTTCCGCTGATCCACGGGGGTCCTCCACTCACCCAATCGGGCCACTGGGACGCCCCAACGGCATCACGGATCAGCACACACGGCTTCGAGCCATAGCTGGGGCCACCTCGGAGATGCCGGAGTTACTCTCCGGTGGTACAATTTCGCAGGGAAATCAGCAAAGCAAAGGTTTGGAAAATCCAGGGATCGACATCAAGTCTGAAGCTTCTGCAAGTACTGGAATGACTGTGAGATGTGTGATGGTTTTTCATGGCTAATCCTAAGAAATTCCCAGGTCTAAGGGTTGCACCAACCTTGTGCCGTTTCAATGTCACCCCTTCAGGTGCCGCACCGGAGTTCTGCTGGAACAGGTGACCACTCCGCCGCAGTATGCGGCCCTCGGGCGCTGGGCGGGAAATCCCCGAAAGAAATGGAGCTTTCAATGGGAACATCTTCCAAAAAAACGGCGGATTCTCCAGTGCCATGCGGCTGATTGCCCGAGGATCAGTGATCTCCCCTGATTTTCAGGTGTTTCGTAAGGGAAGCACATAGCCCATTCTCTCCCCACAGATCCATCGTAAGGGATCAAAAGAACCTTGTTTTAGAGGGTATTTTCCGGCAAGCCATGCTTGAATCCCAAAGGATAAAACCCAGAATAAACAACTTGTTGCGGGATTGCCTTCACGATTCCCAAGTGCTAAAGTTGGGCAAACTGGGCATAGTGTATCATTGGGTTTATATAGCACGTTTGTTGGTTTTGAGCACTTTCACGGGCCACAAAACCAACCATTGAATGGGGATATAATGGCATACAGTATAATGCGACAAACTGCAATAATGAGAAAATGATGATCAACTGTTAAACTGAGGTGGCATCCTATTTTCAATTCACATTTGTCAAAAAGAAAATGGTACCCCAAGCCATTGAATTCCGATGGCTGCACTGCTTTTTGGGCATCCAATCATCCAGCAAAAAAAGGATACAGTATGATAGAATATAGTCCCATTAAACCTGGGAACTCCACATTTTACATCATTTTACCATGGAACCAAGAATAGATGGGAGTGTAAACAGTTTGGGGTGAAGCCAACAGGGGCACCAAGTCACCCCACGCCCGTGTGGCCATTGTAGGCCGGAAACAGCCATAGGGCTGGGTAGACTGGATCCTCACTGCGACCATGGAAAATCACGACCTCCTCTCCTAGTCTGCTCGTCTCCTGACAAAATATGGTATGGTATGGTAGGGCTCAACATCATGGACCCTCATAATATTCCAAAATAACAGGATGGTCCGGGCACCCAAAAAAAACTGAAATCTCCCACCGATAGCTCCCCCGAACCCTGGCATCGCATGAAAGTGTACACCCGCGAAAACTCCTGAGTCGCAGCACTGCAATCCTGCAGATGAGATGTCCGGAGCAAATCTGGAGAGATGACCTTTCACTTCACTGAGGATGAACGCATCACCAGTATGGAAAATTGATCAATGAGACCAACCAGCCAGATTATCCCCTCCAATTCCAGTGACACATGAACCGATGTTTCATGCTTTTCCAGCCAGAATCATCTTCCCCCACGAGGGTTTTGCAGGCCCGAAGTTTCTGGGATGGACCGCATGCCGCCCCATGCGCCTGATCCTCCGGTGTGGCTCCCGCAACTGGTCGACCACCAAGGCTGAAGGGATCGGTGAAGACCTGGGAAGACTCGATGTCTCAAGAGATATCTGGGTAAGAACTGGAAAATAAGGGGAACAAATGGCTAAGAACTGAATGATACTTGGTTATTACATGTTCTGACTGAAAAATATCTGCACTAATATGGGAAACACATGGAAATGCAATTATAAGAAATAAATATACTTGGGGATGATTCGACAATAAGTGCTTATGTAAGGCACTCCTTCTGGTGTTAAAGGCCTTCCTAGAAACCCTGGTGGAAGGTATTGGATGTACGGAATTTTGAAGTCACTTCTTCGGGTATTATTAGGGGGGCAGTACTGATTATGTTTATTAATTCTATGCCAGTTGATAAAGCAGCGAAATCCCATTAAAACAGGAAGGTTTCACTCCTCTCATCTCTTTGGGAGCCTTGCAGGATTCTTCAGGGTGACACCAGGAAAACATGGAAGAGCACTGTGCTCTTCCACCCCCTCGGCTGCAAGGACTTCCTGAGTTCACAACTTGAAACCTCTCATCTGTCATGCCCTGAACCAGGTCGATGCTAATGTCGCAATGCCAATCCGGTGATGGTCAAATTACCCTCTGGTAATTTGTTACATAACTATGGAAAATCATCATTTTCAATGGGAAAATCCACTATTAATGGTCATTTTCAATAGCTATGTTAGTCATTACCAGAGGGTATTCAAGTTCAGGGCCCAGTTTGGTTTGAACCCAAACAATCCCAACGACAGAAGTTGCCAGCTGCGGTCACTGATGGTGCCTCCATGTTCAATGCGCCTGCCAAGAAGGTTCCACCTGTGGTACCTCCATACCTCTGCCCGCTGCGGAAGATGATCTGGGCATCTGGGCATCTGGGCATCTGGGCATGGAACTTTAAAGCCACCAAGGCACGAGAAGAAATACTCCCGGAAGTGCTTCAACCTGATGTCAGCGGTGTGAATGTGTGGCTTTGGGCTACTTTTACTAGTTGTTTGGAATCCTAGGGTGACCCCGGAATAAAGATAGTCAGATCATCAGTCGTTCAATTCATTTCTGAAGATACCCTCTGGTAATTTAACATAACTATGGAAAATCACCATTTTTAATGGGAAAATCCACTATTAATAGTCATTTTCAATAGCTACGTTAAATTACCAGAGGGTAGGATTCCGAACCCCAGCTGCTTGATGCGGGCTGGCTACTGAGGGCCCAGGCGGACCAAGACGCTGGGCCAAGAGGTAGCAGTTGATGTCATCGATCGCGCACACCTCGACAGCTGAACAGAACGGCTGACGGCTTTTTGGGGTCCGAAAATCTTGCCTCCTTTTTGGCCACAAATGTGGAACCATCAAAAATCGTGGCTTAACCATCCAAAATGATGATGGGGTTACAGCTGCAGGCTGGGTTACATCCAATTTTTTGGAAGAAACCAAACCAAACCAAACCTTCTTTGAGAACTCAGACAGTTTTGATCCAGCACAGCTATCTTAACGGAACTTCCCTGGCCACTGACCTGCGCGCAGGCGTTCACCAACACCACTCCCTTGCTCTTTGCTTCTTCGTGGTAGCCTTGTGGCTGACGCAAATTTTATTGGTGCAGAGCAGGGTCGGCTTG